TCGCGCCATTGCACTCCAGCCTGGGTAACAAGAGCAAAACTCTGTCTCAAAAAAAAAAAAAGAGACCACCTAAGAACCCAGAAAACTGCAATTCTGCAGCCACTACCAACACCTGGTTAGAAATGCTCCCCCCCCCCCCACACACACAGAGCCTGAGCCTTTGGTCCACATCTCCTGTTACGACTGGAAGCTGAGATCTACCCAGCAATATCTCCCTCCCAGGCCTCTTCCCCCACTGGCTCCCATCCTCACCACCTTCCCCAGTAACTGCTCATGTGTTTAGAGTCTGGACCACTGTGGACCTATTAGGAAAGAGAGGTGCACGGGTCCTGACAATGCAGCTGGGGCTGTCGCCTGCTTCTGGCCAAATGAGGCACAAGAGTAGACTGGTACCCTGTAAAGAGAACCTGAAAAGCAGTGGGAAGTCAGAGGGCAAGGAATCGAGGAGTCCCCGATAAAATGTACAAGCAGCAGAAGAAACAAAGTAAACTGGAAACGGTGGTTGCCTCTAGGTAAAGCCAGGACAAATGCGGGCCAGGAATAGAAGACTCATTTCTCATTGTTTTATAGACACTGCCCTTACCTGCGTTTCTTTCATGGGCAACTCAAATTCCACACTAGACATAGAAAAAAATTAAAAGGACTCATAAAAGGACTATGCATAAGAAACTTCACTAACTATATAAAAAGATTTCCCTGATGAAAGAAAAATTAGTCTGTTATTCAGGAAGAGAGGTTAATAATCAAAGCTGATGGGAGAGAGAAAGGGAGAAACTGGCACGTTTGTAATTGCTCATGGCTGTGCAAACTGGCAAACCCTTCTGAAAAGCAGCTTGGGAACTGGATTAGTCTGTTCTCACACTGTGTAAAGAGCTACCTGAGGCCGGGTGATTTATGAAGAGGGGTTTAGTTGACTCACAGCTCTGCAGCCTGTATGTGAAGCGTGACAAGGAAGCCTCAGACGCACAACCACGGTGGAAAGCAAAGCTGAGGCAGGCACATGCGCACACGCGACGGGCGAGAGAAAGAGCGAGGAGAGCAGCGCCGCGCCCTTTTAAAGCATCAGATCTCGTGAGAATGAACTCACTATCGCGAGAACAGCACGGAGGCAATGTGCTCTCACAGTCCCTCCCCCAACATTGGGAATTACAATTCACCATAAAATGTGGGTCACAGAGCCAAACTATATTAGGAGCCTTTATGGAGACTTGAAGATTTTTTCAGCCGGGCACAGTGGCTCACGCCTGTAATCCCAGCACTTTGGGAGGCCGAGGCGGGTGGATCATGAGGTCAAGAGATCGAGACCATCCTAGTCAACATGGTGAAACCTCGTCTCTACTAAAAATACAAAAAAATTAGCTGGGCATGGTGGCACGCACCTGTAATCCCAGCTACTCGGGAGGCTGAGGCAGGAGAATTGCCTGAACCCAGGAGGCAGAGGTTGTGGTGAGCCGAGATCGCGCCATTGCACTCCAGCCTGGGTAACAAGAGCGAAACTCCATCTCAAAAAAAAAAAAAAAAAAAAAAAATTTTTTTTTTTCTCTTCTCCTTCTGGTCATCTAGCCAAAGCAAATGATTTGAAAGATGGAAAAATCTACAGATATAACAGTATTTGACATAGGAAGGCAGAATTCCAAATCCTAAACATCTGTTAATCTAGGAATAGCATGATAATTAACGGATAGGATGCGATTTTTAAGTGTATTTTTTAAAAGTGATAAAGATTGTCTACTATCTGTAATGTTAAGTGACAACAAAAGCACATACAAATCATATAAACGCTGTGGTTGTACCTATGCTTTTAAAACTGTGTGGGGAAAAAAAGACTGGAAAGAAATGAACCAACATGGTTGCACTAGTCTGGCGGGTTATTTTCCAATTTTTTTGGTAATACCTTATTTGATACAGATAAATATATATGTAAAGGAAGTAATGAATCTTTTCTATCTCCCCACCTGCAAAGCAGGAGCACACAGTGGGCCTCTTAGCAAGTTGAGGTGTTATGCTACTTCAGGTGTGTAGCTAAGAACACACACCACCGTGCACGCCTCTAGTTCCAACGTGTTTGAAGAGCTTCTCCCAGGGTGTACGGATTCCAGCTACTCTGTTGAACTTAAAAGTTTGGTAAATGTAGTTCACACTCCAATCATAAAGAATCCAAATGAGACATAACAGAATGAGCAAGACAACTACCCCAGCCAGCCCAGGGATGGGCGAGCACCCCTCTCACCCAGCCAACCATCTAAGGAGGCTCACGAGCACCATGACCCATAGCAACAGCAGCCAGGGAAGAACCGCTGTCACTTCCACACCAGAGCTGAGCGTTTCAAAGGATGACTGAGCGTATTGATTGAGGATCCTGAGGACAGAACCAATACGGTGTGTGTATATGTAGAGAGAGGGGGTGGGTTATTATAGGAATCGGCTCATGCGCTGAGAGGCAGAGAAGTCTCATGATTTTCCATCTGCGGGCTGTAATTCAGTCCTAGCCCAAAGGCCTGAGATCGGCAGTGTCGGGGAGGGTAGCAGTGATTGTGTAAGTCCCATTCAGAGTCTGAAAGCTGGAGAGCCAGGAGCGCTGATGTCTTGTAGTGGGAGAAGATGGATGTCTCAGCTTAAGTTGAGAGTGAATTCACTATCCCCCCCCCACTTTTTGTTCAGTTAGGGCCCTCAGCAGATCAGATGGAGCCCACTCACATTGGGGAGGGTGGTCTGCTTGACTCGGTCGGCCGATTCAGAGGGTAGTCTCTTCTGGAAACACCCTCATAGGCACACCCAGAAATCATGTTTTACCAGCTATCTGGGCATCCCTTAGCCCCGTCAAATTGACACCTAAAATTTACCATCACACGGAGGATGTCATCACTTTCACAGGGGAGAGACCTGGTGAGATCTTGGTCTTTGTGAACCTGAAGCTAGACACGTGGCCACCCAAGGAAAGCTGAAAATGCCACTCCCAAAACACCAAAACAGGCCAAGAATTTGATGTTATTTCCGATCAATCTCCTTTGTTTGTTTTTTTTTTTTTGAGGCGGAGTCTGCTGGAGTGCAATGGCACGATCTTGGCTCACTACAACCTCCGCCTCCCGGGTTCAAGCAATTCTCCTGCCTCAGCCTCCCAAGTAGCTGGGACTACAGGCACCCACCACCACGCCCAGCTAACTTTTGTATTTTTAGTAGAGACAGGGTTTCACCATGCTGGCCAGGATGGTCTCAATGTCTTGATCTCCTGATCCTCCCACCTCGGCCTCCCAAAGTGCTGGATTACAGGCATGAGCCACCGCGCCTGGCCCAGTCAATATTCTTTAGTTTTTTATTCTCCACACTGGAATGGCAAGGGGAAACAGTGCTCCAGGGTGAAAATGGAGGAAGAAGTTCTCTGGGGCAGTTTTCAGTGTTTCTTTTTACTGTATAGGGCTGGTGAGCTCTGGTCCCAAACTTGGTCATCCCAGCTCAGCCAAACCTCACCCTGACACTACCTGGGTCCACTGTCCTTACAGTGCAGTTTTCACTGTGCCATTAGTCAAGTCAGCCCTTGGGGTCTTACCGTTCCCTGGTGTGGCTGTTAAGATACTGACGTCCTTGAGTATTTTTTAAACAACGCACCCCTAATTACACCTGTGGTATTTTAGAGCCTTGGTAGAATTTGAGCACCCTACAATATAGCTCCCGGCCTGGCCTGCCGTGGCTCTGCCCCACAGTGTCCCCTGCCGGCCTTCCTGGTGCCTGAAGACCCCGCTATCTGGATTCTACTACAGTGACCTCCAATTTCTAACTGCAGGGGTGATCCTTTGTTTTCAAAAACTGCAGGGCGTTTGTTCTTCAGTGCCCTGGTTGTTCTTCCATGTCTTCAAACAGCTGTTTTTGGTTTTGTTTTTTGTTGTTGTTGTTGTTTTTTGAGACGGAGTTTCGCTCTTGTTACCCAGGCTGGAGTGCAATGGCGCGATCTCGGCTCACCCCAACCTCCGCCTCCTGGGTTCAGGCAATTCTCCTGCCTCAGCCTCCCGAGTAGCTGGGATTACAGGCACGCGCCACCATGCCCAGCTAATTTTTTGCATTTTCAGTAGAGACGGGGTTTCACCACGTTGACCAGGATGGTCTCGATCTCTTGACCTCGTAATCCACCCGCCTCGGCCTCCCAAAGTGCTGGGATTACAGGCTTGAGCCACCGCGCCCGGCCCAGTTTAAAAAAAAAAAAAAAAAAACTGTCACCTTTTCTAGTTGTTCTTAGTGGAAGAGTTCATTCTGATACCAGCGACCATGTCAACCTGAAGCAGAACTCAACCCCTTTTGAAGTGGATGGCATTTAAAGCAACCATTGTTTTGTTGTTTATTTTAAGATGGAGTCTTGCTCTGTTGCCAGGATGGAGTGTAGCGGCGCCATCTCAGCTCACTGCAACCTCTGCCTGCCGGGTTCAAGCAATTCTCCTGCCTCAGCCTCCCAAGTAGCTGGGACTACAGGTGCATGCCACCTTGCCCAACTAATTGTACTTTTAATAGAGAAGGGGTTTCATCATGTTGGACAGGATGGTCTCGATCTCTTGACCTCATGATCTGCCCGCCTTGGCCTCCCAAAGTGCTGGGATTACAGGTGTGAGCCACGGCGCCCCGAGAGCAATCAGTATTTTAAAAAGTCCACAGTTGTGGCTCATGTCTATAATCCCAGCACTTTGGGAGGCCAACGTGGGCCCATCACCTGAGGTCAGGAGTTCAAGACCAGTGTGACCAACATGGAGAACCCTCATCTCTACTAAAAATACAAAATTAGTCAGGTGCGGTGGCGCGTGCCTGTAATCCCAACTACTCCGGAGGCTGAGGCAGGAGAATCGCTCCAACCCGGGAGGCAGAGTTTGCAATAACCCAAGATCGCGCCATTGCATTCCAGTGAAATGCTGTTTCAAAAAAACAACAATAAAACTCAACATTCAACACTTAATTTACCAAAAAGAAATTATCGTAAGAAAATAAAAACAGCCTTTTGCTGCCTGACTGCCACCATCATGGGTCGCATGCCTGTGCCCAGGAAGGGCCTGTCCCAGTGGGCTTTGCCCTATCACTGCGGCATCCTCACTTGGCTGAAGGTGACATTGGATGACATGAAGGAACAGATTTACCAACTGACTGAGAATGGCCTGACTCCTTCAGGTGTGATCCTGAGAGAATCACATGGTGATGCACGGGTACGTTTTGTGATGGCCAATAAAACCCTCGGAACTCTCAAGTCTAAGGGACTTGATTCTGATCTCCCTGAAGGTCTCTACCATTTAATTAAGAAAGCAGTTGCTGGGCCGGGCGCGGAGGCTCACGCCTGTAATCCCAGCACTTTGGGAGGCCCAGGCGGGTGGATCACGAGGTCAAGAGATCAACACCATCCTGGTCAACATGGTGAAACCCCGTCTCTACTAAAAATACAAAAAATTAGCTGGGCGTGGTGGCGCGCGCCTGTAATCCCAGCTACTCGGGAGGCTGAGGCAGGAGAATTGCCTGAACCCAGGAGGCGGAGGTTGCGGTGAGCTGAGATCGCGCCATTGCACTCCAGCCTGGGTAACAAGAGCGAAACTCCGTCTCAAAAAAGAAAAAGGAAGAAAAAAGAAAGAAAGGAAGGAAGGAAGGAAGGAAGGAGAAAGAGAAAGAAAGAAAGAAAGAAAAAGAAAGAAAGAAAGAAAGAAAGAAAGAAAGAAAGAAAGAAAGAAAGAAAAGAAAGAAAGAAAGAGAAAGAAAGAAAGAAAGTTGCTGTTTGAAAGCATCTCGAAAGGGGCAGAAAGAATACGATGCTAAATTCCATCTGGTCCTGACAGGGAGTTGGATTTACCATTTGGCTTGATATTACAAGACTAAGTGAGTCCTCCTCCCAGCTGGAAATACAAATCACCCACAGCCTCTGCCCCGGTCGCATACGTTTGTCCATGTAACCAAGCAATAAAGTGATTATTCAACAGCAACAACAAAAGACTAATCTACATAAACATAGGCCTCAAGAAAGCATAATTTTGAATGTAAAAGTGACAGAGTACTATGAAGAAGACACTATGTAAGATTTTAAAACACACGAAACAATACTACATGGTGTTCACGGACGCATATATGTAAAAATATTTCAATCGAACAGGAGAATACCCAGCAGATTTGAGAACGGCGGTTGCCTTTGGCACAGAGTAAAGGACAAACAGAGAACTTCGTCTGTGATGTTTATTTAAAAATGTAAAGCAAACAGACGGGAGCCGCCGTTAACCACTGTTGATTCTGGGGGTGGAGACTAAACAGGCAAACCAAATCCGTCCACTGGAAATGCCGAGCCCAGCCACATGCCCTGTGATCTTGCCCATTTCTTCCTTCCTCTCACTTGCTCCTTCCTAAATGTACATGCTGCTGCTGTTGGTAGCACAGTCACTGTGACTAAGTCCACAGCTGGCTTCATCTGGCCGGCAGGCTCTGGATACAGGCGGGCACTTCGTGGAAAGCTCACACTCCGCATGACCAGCGCAGGGAGCAGACGGAGCGCCATGCTTGCAGTCTGCACCCCTCTGACTCTCACAGAGCATAACCAACCCCGGTTACCTTGGGTGCACCTAACCTTTCCACGTGGCCTGGAAAGGCCACGCGACTTTAGTAAGCCCCAAAGCATCTTGTAGCTTGACTTTAGGATCCAGCAGCCATGAAAATACAAACAAAAGACAACGTTTCGCCACGAAGGGGAGGAGGCAGTAGAGTGAGTTATTCATTCTCTGTTTCAGAAGACAAACGTGGCCCAGAAAGCCATCCACGGGTAAGTCAGGAAGAAGCGCTGCTCAGGAAGGCCGGAGCGTTGGATTCTACCCAGGCTGGAGGGGGAGGCCACAGGCAGGTTGAAAGGAGGCCAGTTCTGTTTTCCACTTCTTCGTTATCTAAATGCCAGGAGCAGCTTCCCCAGGAAGAACAGACAGGGACACGGGGGAGCCAGGAGCCCCAGAGGAAGCTTGGGCACCAGTTTTTAAATCCCTTGCCTTCCTCTGCAGGGAGTCCTATGCCTGTCTCCGAAGAGCCCCAGTATTCAGGCCCAACGATAGGCAGGGACAGATGAAACGAGAGGCAGCCCCAGCCACAGAGAGAAGCGAGCGAATCAAGGAGCTGGACTGGCAGGCTTCCCGGCCCTTTCAAAGGCAGCAGGGTCTTTAACTGGAGGCGGCTGGCTTATCTTAATCTCCAAACCCTTTCCTGGAAAACAAGGCCATCCAAAAAGGGCCGGAGGCCCAGAGGTAGCTGGAGTCGGTGAGTGAGGCTGGCAACACGCAGCAGGTGGTAGGGGGTTTGCAGAAAGGAGAGGCAGGCCATCTGCCTTCCCTTACAACAGGCCTCAGGCTCCAAGCACAGACTTGCAATCCAGCGTCCAGCCTTTGTGCCCAGTGTCCTCAGCTAGGGAAGCCAGCAGTGACTATTTCTGGGGGGCAGCAGGGTCAGAATGGCCATGGTAAGATACAGGCCATTCCGGGTGGTTAGAGTGGCCACTTTAGCTGCTAGTTGGGTGACACTGGGCAAGTTACTGATCTTTACACACATTTCCCAACCTGTGAAAGTGGATAACGCCACCTACCTCATAGGGTGCAGATTAAATCAAATAACGTGCAAAGATTCCTGGCCCATAATGTTTGCCCAATTATGGCTTCTGCCCTACTAAGGAATCTTAGGCATTGGTAAAGAACCATTCCCACTGCCCCAAAATATTACTGACTTTGTTCCCATAGTAAAGTTGTAAAGTCCCTGGGTGGGGTTCAGAAGAGATGTCCGTACATATGGCAGGGACACTACCCACCACCTGCACATACAACCCTTCCCCGCTCCAGCCCACCACACACTGCGTCAAAAGGCTGGGTCCTATTTCCACAGCTGTAGCCCCACTGCTCAGGAATGGCCAGGGGCCAAGGCATCCCCCTCTTCAAGATGAGCTCTGCACATGCCCGTAAGTCCCAAAGCTTGCTGTGACCCACAGGTTTCTCCCCATCTGGACACAGGTTAGCCTCCTGTCCACTCACAAGGAGCCAGAGCCCATTCCCAGTGGGACCACTCCCCCAGCTTGGCAGAGACTATGCTGCCACCTCCAGGAAGGCAGTTCACTGCTGCTGAGCCCAGGGGATTCCACTCTCCAGCCCAACACCCAGTACTCAAGTGAGGGGTCTGATTAAGACTTCAGTCAGTAGTGGCCTGCTGGGGACAGTCTGCTGATTTCAGGTTTCAAGTGCAGCTCTGCATGTGACACTAACGTGTCATGTGCACTGCACAGTGATTATTACTGTGGTGCCGTTATAGAAGGAGAGTTTCATCACAAAGCAGTCTGGGGGTTGGGAAGATCAACGTTTCCTGAAAACCACCCAAACCTGAGGACTTGCTGGTGTTGCTCAGGACCGCTTTCCATCCAGTGAGACAGCGGGGAGGCCCGATGACCACGCAGAGCTACCCACGCAGCTCAGGCTCGGAGAAATCAGGGCAGCCTGGCAGCAAGGGAGCACCCAGGATAAAATGAGAGACCCGAAGATCACAGCAGTCACAGGCACCAAAGCAGCCAGGCTGGAGGAACAGCCAGGAACCCCTGGCCAGCCACATCCATGAGGCCTGTGGTTTCCAAGGCTCACTTCATCTCCACCAGCCTCTGACTGCTGTGCTCAGGATGGAAGCAGGCAGCCCGCTGTCGAGGTGCGCGGAAACCCACCACTGAAGGGGAGATCTGGATGACTGGGAGGCCGTAGGAGTCCCTGATACAGGGACCAAATTAAAGACCTGTATCCTGCAGGACGTGTGAGGCTGGGTGAGAGGTGGCGGAGTGTGACTCCAGAGCCAGACCCAGAATCCAATTCCAGGTCCCCCACATCCTACCACGTGCCCTCGGCAAGGTTAGTGCCGCTGCCAGGTGTCCTCACTTGTCACAACAGGACCCGCACAGGGGGTGGTCATGAAGATCAGGCAGGCCGATAGGCATAAAGGACTCAGGCAACGCCTGATACATGGCAAGTGTGTGCTCAGCACGTTAGCTGTGGAATCACACATTGTCTCAGGGAAAACAGTGGGTACAGACTGCACGTAGAAAGCTAGCAAAGTACAAGGAAAAACAGACACATTTGACGTCACGTAACCGTGTGATGGCCTTAATATTTACACACCATTTCCATTCACTTTAGTAACCGTTTTGTAGCCCCACTGTCAGCACTCAAAGGGCCTCGACCGCGGCCTCAGCCTTGCTCACCGGCGGTCCCTGGCCCATGGCGGCAGGTGCCAATCGTGGGCAGGTAACTTACTCCACGTGTGGCTGATGGGAAGATGCCCAACTACCCAGAGACTCAGCTTCCTTACCTCCCAAAAACCCAGTTTCTGCCTTCCTCCAAAAATTGTTTAATTGCATTTACCTGGCAAACCTCTGGAATCCCACTCCCCATCCCCCAGGAGCTGCTGAGAGCAGGTGGGATCCTGCACGGTGGGAATCTTGCAACACACCCCTCCGCCATCGCTGTCACCATGGAACATCTTTCTGACTTGCATTTCTACAGGTTTAATAACCCAGTTACCGGCACACACTCCAATCTTTCTTCGTTGGCGGAGTTGGGCTGGGCCTCAGTCGTGCACGTGACAGTCAGTGACTGTCTTTATATTCGGCAGGTCTGAGCGCAGGATCAAGCCATGTGGCTCCCTGTCCAGAGCCTAGAATGCTAGGACCCTGCTGTCAAAGTCATTTCTCCCCAGTCATTTGAAGATTGAGAACAGAAACATTTCTGGCTAATGACAGTCTTTCACAAAGGCAGGCTCCCTCTAACTACGCACAAGCTCAGAGGAGGAATGCTGAGAATGTGAAGGGGCCTGCGGGGACCTTTTTCCTTTGGCTGTGGGCCTCCTGAGTCACATTCTTCCAGAGGGCTTGTGGGAAAGGAATCCGCTCAGAATCTCATTCCCACCAAGAGAACCTCGGCAGAGCGGCCAAATCCAGCGGCCTAAATACAAAAGCAACTAATGCTAAAAAAAAGAGTGACTTTTACTACAAATTAGAAAATTATGGACCTCAATAAAGTCAGGTATCTGACTTTAAAAAAGAAAGCAACAATCTATACAAAGGCTTTGCACTTATGAAAATCAGAAAATCTCATGTACATTGGGTTACTCCTTCCAGTTAGAACAAGGGGAGTCAGTGCCGCTGGACTGCTGAATGCAGAGAATGTCTACATGGACCTGGAGGCAGAGGAGGCTGTGGACAGAGCTCTGGGCAGGACACAGCAGTGAACCATGGCAGCTCAATGAAGGGCTCTCTGGTGGCTGTGGACAGAGCTCTGGGCAGGAAACAGCAGTGAACCGTGGCAGCTCAATGAAGGGCTCTCTGGTGGGCAGGCAGTGTGACAGGAACCCACTAGGGCAGGGACCCAGAGAGGAACAGCAAGAGGAAGCCATGACCACCCTCAGAACCAGAGGCTCAAGGAGAGCCCAGCCAAGAAACCCACACAGAGCAGAGAGTGATGGAGACCTGTCCCGAATTCCACCTGCTCTCACTGGCTGAACCCAACCAGAGCGGCCATCAAGGAACCCAGGGCCTATACAGGTCAGCCTCCAGAGGACAGGGCAAAGGACAGACAGATCTGAGGACAGTGATCATCGCAGGTCCCCTGCCACACGGAAGCTGCTTTTGTTTCCTGTAAAATACAGACTGTGGTGCCTGCTACGGGCCTGGTGTGAGACCAACAGACTATGTGCCAGCTCCGATGACAGAAGAACCCCAATTTAGAAAAAGGGGTCAACGGGGGGCTCCTGTTTCTTGTTAACATTGAACATGCTTCCTCTTTTGCCGTTTTCTGGAACAGGTAGTTTGGATTTGTCAGAACGTCACAAGCATCCAGGGCCACCAATTCCCTCAGCATTCATCACTGACCAGTCCCCACCCTTCCATTTCAGGAACCGGCCCCAGGGCTGGACGACCTCCAAGCTCCACTTCCCCCGGCAGCTCTCACCCGCTCACCTTGGCAGTTTCTCAGAGGACACGGAGCCAAGCTCTGAAGAAGACGAAGAAGTCACAGTCACAGCAGAGTCAAAATTCCCATTGCGCGACAGCGTTTATTGAAAGGAAATCTTGCTTTATCCAGGAATTCACGGAGATGGAGGTAGCCGCAAGAACAATGTCCCTTTCCCACGACAACCCAAAGCAACCCAACCGTACCCCAAAGCAGAAGCCCAGGGGAACATCCAGACTGCACTGCAGAATGACACTCCGAGGCAGAAGTACATAAAAGCTACAGATGATTGTCTCTTCGGCATTGCATCTGGCCATGTATGTGTTTTTACATAAAATAGATGTTTTCTTTTTAAGCTACCTAAAGAAAATACTCTTGATTGGGGTTAGTTCTTAAAGAAAAATATATATATATATGTATATATAATAAAATTAAAGAAGGATAGCATGTTATACCTGGAAAGGACCCTGGGCCCTAATCTTCACGTTGTCCCAAGCTCTGAGATTGAGCAACTGTCAAGGTCACTGGGGTGAGATGAGCTGGGGCTTGAAAACCCTTCTCTTAACTTCCACTCCAGTAACCCGCATGTGCTGCCAGTGCCCTCAGAGTGTAGGATAGCACAGCCGTCAAAACGTTTAACAGCCTCTTCTTACGGCAATGCGGCAAGGATTCTGAAAGGTGACCTCTGTTCTCTCTTCATGGACAGCTGGAGCCAGCCTCATGGCCACCGCAAAGAACTGGCCAGAACGAGGGGCAGCTGCGTGCCCACAAACCGAAACACACACACTCCCACAGTTCTCCAGCATGCTGACCTTCCGCAGCTCCGTCTCCAGGTACGAGTGGGCCCAGGCTTTTCTAGGCAGGTCGAATGACGGCAGAAGCAGCAGGGCAATTATGAACATGCCGAAGGTCAGAGTGAGCTCTAGGGAAACCAGGCTTGTCACGTTCTCAGGAGGACAGAGACATGAAGGGCTGAGTACAGAGGTGCTCAACCTCCATGTCAGTTTGTCATCTGTCACCCGCTTTCCCAACACTGGGCTCCAAGAGGGGAGGAATTTGTAGCTGTTTAATTCATTGCTGTAGTCTCTGTGCCAAGGACTGCACCTGACACATCACTGAGGCTCAGTAATCTGCTAAATGAATGAATGGCTAAAGGGAGGAGCTGTCCATACCCCACATAAGCAAGCAAAGGAGAGAATCACCCCCGACTGTGGTGAGGATGACAGTGACCCTGTAGACATGGAAGGGGCTTGGCTCTCTGGCTCCAGACTCCCACCCTTAAACTGGGCTGACCACTCTGAATCCTGTTGGCTGGGCTCTGACCTGGTGCAGGTGGGACTCCATGGCAACTGTCATGACGTTCTCTGGCCCACCGGCCCCCCACCTATTGGGGTGTCTGGGGACACTGTGGAAGCAGCTGAACACTACTATCTCTGCCCCATAAATGTCACCAACTCACAGGGTCCTCTCCCTGGCCATACCCCTACTTAGCTGCCTATCCCATACTCCAACCTGTGGAAGTCCAGCTGCGATTGGACCTGGCCTATGGGCATGCCTGGGGACTGTCACAATGCGAAGTGACACAGGAATGCCAGGAGGGAGTGCCCGGATACCCAGCATCCTCCTGACCCCATGCTCCCTGAAATTTCTCTCCAGTCACGTGGCCTTGCCCCCCAGACGTCAACCGTTCCCTGCCAGCCTACTGCTGCTGATGTCTCTTTGTCCCACAAAATTGGAAGGAGTCCTCCAGTTTGCACAGAGACACCTCTGCCTGGCTTCTGTTTCTGTCTTCCTTCACCTCCTCGACATAAACGTGAGCTCCTATCAACGCACCTCTGGCCTAAATATCCCCCAGCTTTCAAGAGCTTCTCTGTCTTCTTTCTCACACAGAACCCACACCCACACCTGCCTCTCTCCTCTCTCCTCTCCCTTCCCCCATGACCTTAGTTCTCACAGCTAAGTCCATGAACCTTTCCCACATATCCTCCTAATCCCCCAATCCCAAAAGCCTGCTGTGGGAGGAGGGGAAAAGGACCAGTAAGACATGACCACAGAGCCCCATCATTCCAGAAATGGCATCATTTGTTTAAAAGCTTATTTACAAGTCTCCCTACCCCACCTGTGTAAAAGAAATTGCAATCAGTGACTCGGAACGGGTCTCAGCAGGGTTCAGAAACTGTAATAGAATTCTAGATAAAATAAGCAAACAAGGCCATAGCTGCAGCCATAGACACAAGTGACCTTCTGGCTTTCTCCTCTTCCAATGCACTGTTTACCCAGACCACGTGAACTGCCATTCTCGGCCTTAGTTGTCTGTGCCCAATACAATTCTTTTTTTCCAACCCTGGTTTCCAAAGTGGCCTTTATTTGACTTGCTCTCTCTGTCACCTCTGCTCCTTCATACATAAAATCTAATAGTTCATATTCTAAAAAAGAATACTCAAAGGCCGAGTGCAGCAGCTCATGCCTATAATCTTAGCACTTTGGGAGGCTGAGGCACGTGGATCACCTGAGGTCAAGAGTTGGAGGCCAGCCTGACCAACATGGCAAAATCCCATCTCTACTAAATACAAAAAGTTAACCAGAAGTGGTGGCGGGCACCTGTAGTCCCGGCTACTTAGGAGGCTGAGGCAGGAGAATCACTTGAACCTGGGTGGCAGAGGTTGCAGTGAGCAGAGATCACACCATTGCACTCCAGCCTGGGCAACAAGATTAAAACTCCATCTCAAAAAAAAAAAAAAAAATACTCAATACAGGTGCCTGAACTTTACAAAGCAGCTGCCCTACCAAGCCTCTGTCACATTCCAAACAGAAGAGCAGCAGTCCGTCAGGTCTGGGTTAAAATATGTACAAGCTACACACTGTTTCCTCCCTGCAGTGCTACTGAATAAGACCTAGCCTTCGGGACCCTTTGTCTTGGCAGGGTGAGTGAGGAGGGGGCCAGGGACAGCAGTGGAAACAGTGACTGTGGAACAGGGACCTCAGCCCACCACAGTGTGTTTCTCACAACACCCCAGGAGGTGGTGGCTCCTGTTCCTTAGGCATCCCAATGTTTTAAACTGCAAAAGCTCCTGCTGAAGACCCACTGAGAGACCCTGGAGAGGAACTGGCATGCTGTGCAAAGAGGCGGCCATGGTGTCGGTGGCAGACGGACGCTCCCCTCCCCGCCTCCCGCTTTGGGTGGCTGCAGCCCGGGAGCGCACTCAGATCTGGCTGGCGGCGGCACTGTCCTTGGGGAAGGTGTAGCTCAGGGGCGCCTCGTAGAGGCTTCCCCCCTCCGTGCTGAGGTCATCGTCGTCATCCATGTCATCCAGAACCTTACTCGGCAGCTTCTTCAGTCTGCTGAAACAACAAGGGGCATGTTTCCAGGCCCTGGCTGGGACCCGTCGCTAATTTGTAGGCGAAGGAAGGGTTTTGGGTTGCTGTCTCTGCACGCCACTGAGTGGCACAGAAAATTAATCCGTGAACTGAGCAGGTCTGCACCTGACGGTCCCTTCAGCCAAAGGTAGCCCACTGCCCCCTCTCAGCACGGAAAGCCCTTGTTGATGGGGTGGGCTGGGCTGGGACAGAATTGGAGGTGTTGATTTCCCCAGGCTGTTATCGATCTTGTCTTGATTTAAAATTCTGGTATTTTGTTCACCATGGATGACACCTATTGTCTTTTAAATATCGCTCTAAAATGTTATCTACTGTAATTGCTGAGATTTTTGATGCCCTCTTAAATGCTGCACCCTAATGCCAACCTTGGGGCCAGTGAGCTGACAGGCCCAGTTTTACAGGATCCTCAATGAGCTGGGGCCTTCTGTCCATTTGTGAGAACTACCCGGCACCCAGCACAGAGCCCCAGGTCACAACCAGCCTCCAAGAAAGGCTCAGCTCCATGGATCAGCGTGAACCTAATCTCATGAACCTTACCTCATACTCCAGGCAGAGACCCTAGAGCAGAGAAAGCAACCCACACAGCCCCCCAACCCTCCGCTCCATGACCCATCCTAACGACCACGGCAGACAAGCTTCAGAGAGCTGCTCTCTCCTGGAAACCAGGCTTGGGAAATCCTCGTCTTCATGAAGATACATATCAGAACACAATCTTATCTCCCTAAGTCAGACAAAAAACAGGCTGGCCCAGGAACTGCCTCTCCATGATGGTGTGAGCTAGTCTTATCTGCCTCAGTTTCCCCTTATGATCAACAGGGACACGTGCCCAGCTGGCACTGGGGCACTGGTTTAAGAATGACATGCATGAGACCCTACTGCCCATGTAGGATGACTGAAGTGGACACAGTCACCTTTACCTCTAGGATAAGATAACCCCAAAAGCAATGGTGAGGAGCTGGCTTTGAGACACCAGCAGTGAGAATGCTCTGAAGGCAGAGCCTGCCTCAACCATGGGGGATTATTGGTCTCTCTGTGGCCTCCACATCTGCCCACCTTAAGTCCTTCTTCATGGAGTTGAGCTGCCCCTGCAGATGCTCATTCATGTCCATCTGCTCCTCCAGCTCCCTCTGCAGCTTCTTTTTAGAACTTTCCAGTCTGTCGATTTCCTCCTCGGCCTCCTCCACCTGCCGCTTCATGGCTTTCAAACGCAAGCTCAGCTGCATGGGGAGAGAGGATGGGTCTGAGTGCCAGCTGATAGCCCAGCCCCAGCACTCAATCCACCCCAGGTCCAGCCACCGTCTCCCCAGGCAACCAGGACAGGGGCAATGGGGCAGCAGTCTCTCCGGAAACATGGAGATCAGGTAATAAGACAAGGTTACTCTTTAAAAGCCAAAATCAGGGTGTGGAATTTGCTGATATCCCCTAATCATGTAGGCAAGAAGCCCCCATTCTATGATGCGACCAGGTTCGTCAAGGGGAGGAATCAGCCCACTCACACTGCACCCCTGCTCGGGGAGGCCTTGCTTCCCTTCTTTCCCAGCCTGAGACGTGCAATCTCATCTGAGGACAAATACAGGCAGAGGCCCCCACCTGGTCCTTCTGATCGGTCAGCGACAGGTGCTCCTCATCCACCTGCATCACCAGCTCCTTCACTTTCCGCTCCAGCCGCCGGTTGCTGAGCTGCAGGTTGGCCCGATCCCTGGAAGTGGGAAGGCAGGACCAGGAACCCTCTCACTGCCACCCCTGCAGGGGCCCAGCCCACGCTGTGGAGGAGGGCAAGCTCCAGCCAGGGGTGCCTGGTCAGCTCAAGGCTTAGGGTCAGCGAAACACAATTACACAGGAAGAAAAGCTGCTTGTGAGAGAGGCTCCGAGAAGGGCAGTGGCCCAAGGCTGCAGGGCCAGCAAGGGGCTGAGGGCCGGCTAGAGCTGCCCGGAGTTCCTGAGCTTTGCTTTGTAAGGCAGTAAGTCACAAACTGCAGATGTCTTGGGTGTACTCCAGCCTGTTCTGGCCTGACTCCCCAAAAGTCCAGCTAACAGAGTAGATCATCTGATGTGTCAAATGCCTGCATACCCTGCACCTTCTAGGAAGGTGAGAGGCCATGAGTCACAACTATGGCCGGAAGGCTGGAAAAGTTCAACCTGGTGCTGGTCCTCAGGCTGTCACTCAAGAGTCAGGCACAGAGAACTGAGTTGTGGGAAAGGAGTGTGTTCACTGGACCCCACTGGGGGAGGGGTGTGCCCCATCTCGGACTGGTGGCCAATCGGCCTCTGCTTAAATACACCTGGTCTCCAGGGCAGAGCCCGCCTTCTGGCCTCTAATCTGGCTCTAACTCGGTAGCTTCGGAGGTAGCCTGTCCTATCCAGAGAACGTAAAAGGACAGCAGCACCACCATGGACTGAGAAGTGGAGTCCTAAGCATTAACCCAGCTACACCACTATCTAGCCGGGCTACCTTACCCAAGTCATTTATTTTTATCTTCTTTTTTTGAGACGGAGTCTCGCTCTTGTTACCCAGGCTGGAGTGCAATGGCGCGATCTCGGCTCACCGCAGCCTCCGCCTCCTGGGTTCAGGCAATTCTCCCGCCTCAGCCTCCCGAGTAGCTGGGATTACAGGCACGCGTCACCGTGCCCAGTTAATTTTTTTTTATTTTTAGTAGAGATGGGGTTTCACCATGTTGACCAAGATGGTCTCGATCTCTTGACCTCGTGATCCACCCGCCTCGGCCTCCCAAAGTGCTGGGATTACAGGCGTGAGCCACTGCGCCCGGTCTCAAGTCATTTATTTTTATGGGTCTCTGTTTTCTCATTTATAAAATAGAAATAATAAAAGTAAGTTTGTAGTTGCTGTGCCTTCCTCACAGGCTAGGAGGATGGGGACAAATCCCAAACGTCAGAGCACATTGCAATGGGACTGTCACTGCCCACTGGGGCCTCTGCACTGCCGCTGGCCCAGCTTACCTCTCCTCACTCTCCAGGCGGTCCTCCAGCTCTGCAATCCTGGCCTCCATCTGCACAACCAGCCCCTCTTTGCTGGACCGGTAGGAACCTTCCAGGTGGACAATCCGGCTCTTTAAGTCCTTGTTCTAGAACCACATAGGGAGACTGTGAGGGGTTATGTGTCTGCCACGCTCTGTGCAGAGCAGCGAAAAACATGGGGTGGAACCCAGCATTTGGTCGCTGCCTGCAAGGAGGCTGCTTTCTGCACCAGGACCTGTGGCCTGGAGACCTGGAGAACCTAGAGATGTTTTTAAGGAAACCCCCTGAACTCAGGTGCAGGCCAGAAGAGGAGGTTCCATCACACTCCCTCGTAAGCCCAAAAGAAATCTTTGCCATGTCCTAAGACTCCTGAATGTGAAAAAGGCTTTGCCTTGCCCTATAAATCCACAGGGGACAGGAGAAATTGGCTCCTTTGCCCATCACGTGCGGTGAAGAACATGAACAGAAACCAGGTAAAAGAAACAGTAATCCGACGAAGATTTCTTAGTGACTCACGTGTTTGGTGACATGAATTCTTTATCATGCTCTTTACATTAGAATTTAGCCCTCTTGGGCCAGGCGCGGTGGTTCACGCCTGTAATCCCAGCACTTTGGGAGGCCGAGGCGGGTGGATCACGAGGTCAAGAGATCCAGACCATCCTGGTCAACATGGTGAAACCCCGTCTCTACTAAAAATACAAAAAATTAGCTGGGCGTGGTTGCGCGTGCCTGTAATCCCAGCTACTCAGGAGGCTGAGGCAGGAGAATTGCCTGAATCCAGGAGGCGGAGGTTGCGGCGAGCCAAGATCACGCCATTGCACTCCAGCCTGGGCAACAAGAGCAAAACTCCGTCTCAAAAAAAAAAAAGAATTTAGCCCTCTTCAAGATCTAGAAAATAACACATGTAATCCCTCCTCCCTCAGCTGCCAAACTTCCTTGCAGGTTTAATATGACTGGGAAAAAACAACTCTGGAAAAGAACTGTCAGCCCCCACCCCAGATTTCTGGAGATGCCAAGTAAAGGTGGGCCCTCCAGTGAGGTGAGGGCGGGTTAGCGGGATGGAGGGGAGCAGCTCACAGGCCAGCTGCGCTCACCTGCCTCTCCAGGGAAATCTTGTCACACTCCAGGTCTTGCCTCGCAGCTCTCTCCTGAAGCAGCTCATTCCTCACCTGCTCCATCTGTCGCAAGCAGAACCAAAGCCAGAGGTTAGAAGGATTGTTTCTGCATCTTTTGTAGTGAAATGGTGCCCAGGAGCTGAATTCCAGCAACCAGGTCCACCCCTACTTTATGAAGGAGGTTGCCCTACCCAGCCCCTCCTGCCATCTGCTCTGGGGTACAGGATCTGTTTCTTAGTTCTTTCTGATTTCTTAACGTTTGCAATAGAAGTAACACTAAGAGTCAAAGCTGGCCCTGCTGTCATGGGCTGAACTGTGTACCCTCAAAAAGATATATTGGTGCCCTAATCCCCAGTACCTCTGACGTGACCTTATTTGGAGAAGACGACTTTAGAGAGGCAACCAAGTTAAAAATGAGGTTATTAGCCAGGCGCGGTGACTCAAGCCTGTAATCCCAGCACTTTGGGAGGCCGAGGCGGGTAGATCACGAGGTCAAGAGATCGAGACCATCCTGGTCAACATGGTGAAACCCCGTCTCTACTAAAAATACAAAAAATTAGCTGGGCATGGTGACGCGTGCCTGTAATCCCAGCTACTCAGGAGGCTGAGGCAGGAGAATTGCCTGATCCCAGGAGGCGGAGGTTGTGGTGAGCAGAGATTGCGCCATTGCACTCCAGCCTGGGTAACAAAAGCGAAACTGTGTCTCAAATAAAAAAATGAGGTTATTAGGGTGGGCCCTAATCCAGTATGGCTGGCGTCCTTTAAAATGGGGAAATACCAGTGCAGAGACAAACATGCACAGAGGGACGACGGCGTGTGACGACAGGGACACAGGGAGAGCACTCTGGGGAGATGGACGATTGGGGTGATGGGTCTATAACCTAGGATTGCCCAGGACTGCCAGAAACCACCGGAAGCTGGGAGGAGGCAAGGAGGCACCTCCCTACAGCTCTCAGAGGCAGTGTGGCTCTGTAACACTTCTATTTCAGACTCCTGGCCTCCAGAACCATGAGACAATAGATTCCTGTTGTTTTAAGGCACCCAGTTTGTGTTACTTTGTTACTTTCCCTAGAAAACTGGCAATACCTGCTTGGACCCCACAGGTAGGACCCCATGACACCCCCTGAACCACCCTAAGAAGCAGGTCATCGTATCTCCGCTGACGATATTCAGGCTTCCAAAAGTGAATCACCTTGCAGGGGGACCCAGTGTCTGAGTTTGCCTGGACTGAGCACGTTCTCAGGTTGTTTCCATGCTAAAACCAGGACAGTCACCGCTGAACCAGGATAAGTCAGTCACCCAACTTCCCCAAGAGCTACATAGCCAGGAACAGGGGAGCCAGCGTTCACCTGCGCTCCTGAATGCCGCACCATAAGCTCGGGCTTCAGAAAGGGCCTCCGGAACGGGAGCATCGCTCAGACACTGCTAAATCTCTCCTTTTTATGCCAGAAATACAAGTCAGAGAAAATGCAACTTCAGGAGACCCGACCAAGGCTGGACACTCCTAAGAGTCTCCTGTATGCTCGGGAAAGGAGCCTCACGGCACAGCACCAGAGAAGAAATCCCATCACCTGACCACCAGCATCTCTTTTCCTGATTCCCAGTGGCTTGTGCGGGAGTAAAACCAGTGATCAGAGAGGAAGGCTCCAGACCCTGTTGCCAGAACCGTCCAGCAGGGGGCAGCCTGAAGAAGCCAGAAGAATAGAGCTAAGCTGGTCAAATAAAACCACTTTTTCCTTCTTAAGGATGAAAAACAAATTCCAGGGTCCGACATGGCTCAGAGGTGCACACACAACCCCAGGACACCAGAGCCCGAGAGCATCTGACACAGGCTCACCTGGACCGACCTCAAGTTGAACTCTGCCACCCGTACAAGTACCCCAGTGAGTAAAAGATAATCTCACCCCTTCCTCACTGTCCCCCGCGGAGAACAAGAACTGGGGTCCCAGGAATGGCCAGAGGAGACACCCCACATTGGGCCAAGCTTGCATTTGCCCCCTGGCTCCCCTTGTCCCGACCCTGGTGTGTCACACAGCATGCTGTCACTGGTAAAATGAGGCTGGCGGGACCGGCAGGGTTGGGATACAAAGGCCTCTGACACCACAGGGGGAAGCCGGGCCTCTGCCCCTAGGTGAGGGGGTACCAGGTAGTCAAAATGCTCGTGTTTTAACATTTCTGACTGGCAGGCATCCAAGTCATGGAGGTGCAGAATGTTCCTCGGAGGAAATGGAGGCTTGAGAGAGTGTTTACACAGTACCCCGAGGAGCAGGGACAGAGCCGGGCACAGCCTGTGACCGCATGGTTTCGTCCCTGGACGAACTTAAGAGGAAAAGATTCCAGTATACACAGAGTTCAAATGCAGCTGTAGCATAAACATCCAGGCAGAGGAGGGCATCTTGCATAGCGAAGGGAAGAATGCCAGCAGTGCCCAGGACCAGCAAGCAGAGCATGTCCGCCCTGCCCGGGCCCACTCCCACTCTGCTGGGCCCTGGGGCCCTCGCCAATCACATCCTGCACAGAGGGTGCCAGAACAATGGCTGTCACTGTTACCCCAGCACCAAGTTCAAGGGGAATGAATGCGGGCTCACGGCCCTGCTCCCAATGTGGGTTCTAAACCAGCCACCTCACATGTGGAGGTCATGGGAACAGCTGGGCCACGGGACTGAGGACGGACATGCCTCCCAGGGGCAGCCATTCTGTTCACGTGCCCAGGGAAGGTCGCGGCACTTCAGTGAGGACGTGGTTAAACTTCCACTGCAATGGGAAGCGGTTACAGAGACCAACAGCAGTGGCCCAGCTTGAACTGCTGGCTCTGCCAGTCCCTCACCTGTGACCTTGTTGATCTAACTTCTGGGACACAATCTCCTAAGCAAGGACCTCCATTGAATGAGACACCCTGTAAGGGCCCCCAAGCTGGCCTATGATGTAATAAAAGCACAACCTGGTGCCTCCTCTACCCTTCAGGGTGCTGTGTGGCACCCTTCTGAGGAAGCCAGAGGCACCTGCCTCCATCCTTAGGCAGAGTAGCCACCCCAACTCTCCACCATTAGGAGTTTCCCCTGGTGAAAAACCCACATTGTCATAATAAGAGCAAGCATGTATCTGTGAGGGTGGGCAGGGGTGGTCTCACAATGATAGGATGGGTTTGCTTGCTGTTCAAACTACATGATGTGTCCTATGCAGGACATTGTGACAAAAGAGACCCAGGCAGTGCCCACTCTCCCTGTAGCCTAGCAGGGGACAAACAAGCCCTGTGCAAGTAGTCAGTGTCACCATGACAGGAAAGGTCAGTGTGCTGAGGCAGGGTGGCAGTGGGTGGCAGCCCTGATTCAGAGGGTCAGCAAAAGCTTCCAAAAACACAGACACTAAGCTGAGACCTAAAAGAGGTCTGGAATGGACAGGGTAGAAAAACGGGGAATAGGGTCTGGCTGAGTCCCCACCCAAATCTCATCTCAAATTGTAGTTCCCATAATTCCCAGTGTCACGGGAGGGGACCCGGTGGGATGTAACTTGATCATGAGGGCAGGTCTTTCTCACGCTGTTCTCGTGATAGTGAATAAGTCTCACCAGATCTGATGACTTGATAAACGGAAGCTCCCCTGCACATGCTCTCTCTTGCCTGCCGCCATGTAAGACATGACTTTGCTCTCCATTCACCTTCAGCCGTGACTGTGAGACCTCCCCAGCTATGCTGAACTGTGAGTCAATGAAATCTCTTTCCTCTCTAAATTACCCAGCTCAGGTATGTATTTATTAGCAGCATGAGAACAGGCTAATATAAGGAGCAGGAGAGGGAATGTAGCTTTCCAAACTGGAGGTGGGCGGGCCACCAGGAACACAGAGTAGGAGGTAAGACGGAGAAGGGCAGTGTTGGAAGGAATTAGCCACGTGAGGAAGGTGAGGGGCAGGTGAAGACATGGATGGATCAGGTGGTCACACAGGCCCAAATCATACAGTGACAGTAGCTCACAGATTTATTACAAAAGCGAGTTCTGTGCATTTGAATAGTGATATCTCATTTACTCCTCACCACCACCAATGAGGTAGGCACTGTTAACGTCCCCACCTGTGCCAAGAGTCCTCCTGGTGATGCAGGTGGGGCCAACTGCACGATGCCAGTGGGAGCCACAGGACAGGTAAGCCCACCAAGGAGAGACATAAAAAGAATAAGAAAGACCTGCAGCTGGGCCCTGGGAATCCCTCCCCCCCACTCAGTCCCCAGGTCTGGGGAGGCAGGGAGGAGCCAGGATCTATCCCAAAAGCCAAGAAGGGCAAAGCTTGCAGGTAAGGCAAAGGCTAGACAAGAACAAGTTTGCTTCTGCAAAGTTCTGCAGAGAGGAGAGCCTGACTGCAAAGCTCAGGGGAGGCACTGGAGCCCAAGAGGCAGGAACAGACACCACACCTCTCCTCTGGAACCCAGCAGTGACTAAGACAGCAGCTATGACCCAGGGCTGGAGGGGGCATGAGGGTGTTCCAGGGATGCCCATGCTATTATCAGGTGGCAGTGAGAAGCCACAGAGGAGAGAAAAGTCACAACCGGTGGACATTGAAAAGGGAGTGTCACAGAAGAGCAGCCACCCAGCAAGGGGAGGGACGGGATCCAGGCCTGTCCTAGGGTCAGAATGAGGACAGGGAGAGGAAGAGCATCCCCCAGGGCTTGGTGGGAGGCAGCACCTATAGCTCAAAGGAAAGGTAGAGGCAAGAAAGGAAGGGAAGGGAAATTATTTTCCCAAAAGAAAAGGGATAAAGAAAACCTGGAGGCTGTAGACAGAGAAATAAATCTAGAAATCTAGTTGCTGTGGACTGTGCGGTTGAAAAATACCAGCAGACAATAAAAGGCCAGCAGAGCAGAGGCAAGCATCTCTTTGCAGCTGTGCTCCCAGCCAGGAGACTCAGAGGGGAATGCCAAGCACCAAGAGCCCCCCAAGCTGGGAACTCTCTGAGGCAGACGTTATCACCCTGAGTTTCCAGGTGGGAGGTCCAGAAACATGCCCCAATCACTGTTAGGTGGAGGCAGCTTTGGGATTCCCACCTAGGTTTTCTGACAAAAAAGAATCATACCCTCTCTTTTCGCCTCTCCATTGTCTCTTAGCAAACCTATAGGACCTAGAACTCTCAACGAAGGAAAAATTCCCACAAGGAGGAGAGTTCGGGCAGGGACTTTGGAGCCCGGAAGGAAAACGCTCTGTGGCGGAGTGAGGCGGAGAGTGCGTGGAGGGTTCCAGGGTGTCCATGGGGTCACCCCGCACCGGGCCCAGCCTGGGGGTTCAGGACAAACCCTGCCATCGCCGCAAGCAGCGTCCACTGGCCAGTCTTACACCCTTAGTGCCAATGTCTGAGAACTCCGGATCCCACCAGGAAACAGACTTCCCACACACGGCAGGATCCCCGAGGGCCCCCCACAGGTTCAAGGCCTCCCTGGAGAGCCCCAGGATAATGGTGACTCTCCAGAGGGGGAAAAAAAAGGAATTATTTATTCTCCACTGCAGTCCCGTAAAAGATGGCTATTAAAATGGAAATGTAGAATAAATCAGTGAAGAGCAGGAAGGAATAATGTGTAGCCACAAAACTTAACGGTTACTGTGACCTGAGCAGGCAAGTCCATTTCCTTGAGTCTCCGCAAACCCAGGCTTTTGGCAAACATGATCAGCTTCCTTCAGTTCTTCAAAGGACAGCCTGACATGAAACCTCTGAAGTAAATCCACCATGTGGAGCCTTATACAAGCACCAGGTGGTGTGTGGACAATGCCTCAAGGATGGGTTTCGCCACACACCCAGAAGTATCCTGTGTCCCCCTGGTATTGGTTGTCCTCAATGCAGTGATCCCAGGACTAGGCCCCCTGACTTTGGAATATTGTAAATAAAATTCTTACCCTGAGCTCACACTGGTCCCTGCCCTGGGGTAAAAAGAAAAAAAAAAAAAACCTCTGGCTTGGCTGAGCCAGCCTCCTAAACCACAGAAGAGTAAACTCGAGGGTGGGAAGTTATTTATTTACACAAGCTTGGTGCTTTATATGCTATTTACCCTTCAACTACATTAAATAGCCTTCACAAAAACTTTCCAGTCAAAATAAAGACACCACCGGAGCGGAAGGCAGAAGCGTATCACAGTTGGACTGGAAGAACGCTACGCCCTGAGTATTTTGATTGGAAATCACAGTATCAGATTCCAGTGGGTTTTCTGTCAGAGATACCCACGACCTGAGCGAGCTCTCAGGATTCTAAGCGGCTGCCCTTCCGGTTCATGGAGAGCCAGAGCTATTTGTGATGGCCAGTAACAATACCGAACCCCATCGCCTGTGTTTATCCTTGGGCTGTAAGGAGGTTGGCAAGCCCACACTCCTGGCTGACATTAAAAATAATCACAAAAATGGAAAATTATTATTAATCAGTTGTACACACTGGGTGTTTTGAGCAGCTGATACAATAAGAGGCAGTTACAAGGTTAGTAGCATTTTAATTGAAAAAAAAAAAGGAGAAAGAAGAAAACCCCCCTCTGATCTTTCGTGCATGACTGAAGAGAAGACAGTCACCTTTATCAGGAGGGCATGCCTGATGCTGACTGGAGAGCAGGTGTGAGCCACTGAGGAGCAGTTCTGGAAAGTGACTGTAGGAGCCCACAACTCTATCAGTGGGATTTAATCCTGCATCTGCAGAGGCAACTGGGCAGCCTTGCTCAGACCCTGGAGTGAGCATGAAGCCACCCAAAGCTCAACCTGGCATTTTTCCTGCTGCCAGCTGCCTGAGCTGGACGAATCATCTTTCCATCGGGCTAGGCCACTGTGGTCTACACGGCCAACAGAACGCCTCCCCCATGTGGGCCCAGCTGTGCTGTGAAGTGTCTGTCGCAGTGCCTATCGAGCTAGCCCAACAGCCTGTTGGCACTTAATTTAAAACACGTGAAGCCAGACCTCTCCTTAATGCTGCACTCCTAAAGAATCAGGAGAGGGTCAGCTGAACTTTGATCCTCACCCATTTTAAGAAACATGATTTTTAACTTGGGAGTGGAGACCCAAATGCACTTGAGGGAATGGTCTTTAAGACCATGATAGTCTCTTGCACGGATAATGGGAACGGGCAGGAGGCTTTGGAGTCAAATTGTGACTCTACCTCATACCAACTGTGTGACCCTCTGCAGTCACTTCTCCTTGAAGGCCCTGAAAACAAGAAACAAGTGAGGCCCCCAGCCTGGTGCCTAGCACTTAGGGAATCATTGTAAGGATGGCAATTGTCATAAATGGAAACATGGTTTTCGGGGATGGAGAAGAAACAGGATTACTTTGAATTGAAACAGAGCAAACACTAGTAAAATACTCACTACTGAACTGAATTATCCTTCACCTTATAAGCCAATCGGAAACCTTTCTGCATATGGTGGACTATACCTGGGTGTAAGTACCTAAACAGGTACTCCTTACCTCTGTTACATAAAGAAGATATCATTTTATCAACTCGAAAGCCATCCTTTCTCCTTCATGGTAGTCAGACTTGAAAACAAAGTCCAAACATCCAAGAGGTTTGAAAAACTTCTCTCTCAATTAGGATTTCCTGAATCCATCGCTTTCAATAATAAGGTCCTGGGCACGTAAAGGAAGTCCTCGGAAAGGCTGTGATATGGTTTGGGTGTGTCCTCACCCAAATCTCACCATGAATTGCAGCTCCCATAATCCCCAAGTGTCACAGGACGGATTTGGTGGTGGCAACTGAATCATTGGGGGCAGGTTTTTCCCATTGCTCTTCCTGTGATAGTGAGTAAGTCTCATGAGATCTGATGGTCTGATAAAGAGCAGTTCCCCGGTACACACTCTCTTTCCTGCTGCGACGTAACACGTGCCTTTGCTTCTCCTTTGCCTTCCGCCACGATTGTGAGGCCTCCCCAGCCATGCTGACCTGTCAGTCCATCAAATCTCTTTCCTCTAGAAATTACCCCGTTTCAGGTATGTCCTTACAGCCATGTGAGAATGGACTCATACAGGCTGGGAACTTATAAATAACATGGCCAGCATTTAGTGTATACCAAATGCAGGCATAATTAACAGAAAAAAAGAACAGAGGCATGGAAAGGATCAAACGCACCGTCTCACACAGCCTTTCCTGTCCTCTGCCCTGGTAACAGCACAGTTGAGGCCTCCTCCCAGTCTCCCCTTCTCCAGTCCTCACCCCTACCCCTGCCACATGAGTCTTCTAGAACACTGTGTATGCTTCACTTGTCTGCTCAGCAGCGTTGACAGAGCAGACAGAGACGTTCAAACCCCCCGCCTGACTCTTCAAACTCACCTCCTTTCATTATTTCCTAAGGGAACTGGAAATCCGATTGAGCCACACTCATCCATTCATTGCTTCTCAAACTGCTGCACAGATTCCCACCTCCCAGTCTTCCTTCATACCATTCCTTCTATCTAGAATCCCATTTCCAGTCCTCTTGGTTTATCTAAATCTCACGTCTTCTTTAGAGCCGACCCCAGGTCCCCGCCCTCTTTCTAATAAATCTTCTATAATCACCCTTGCTGTGACGGCCTTTCCCTCATTAGCTGCTTGAATCTTTTACTTGGCATTTGGTATCCACTAATCGTTCTATCCAATATAACAATTTTTATTGTTAACAATTTTTATTGTTATATTGCGCACAGCAGGTATTCACCGTATTTTGCAAGCACTGATAAAACGGAGCGTTGCCTTGGGAACTGAGACCTAAACCAAGCTCTGCCGTCCACTGCCTGCATGACTGTGGCCGAATGACCAGGTGACGCTGGGCCTCAAATCTCATCCACACAGAGAAGCGGGGAGAGCTGGACTCTGAGGACCTTGCCAGATCTAACAGTAATGAGAGGGGTTGAGCACTCACTACTAATATTGCTGGAAAACTGGTTTTTTTCTGCAATTAAGTTCTGTCACTAAGACTAGTGGTAGATGCTTGGGGAAGCAAAGATTCAGCAGAGGAGCTTGTGAGAATTCAGAGTTTAAGGAAAGAGCTGTTAAGTCTCAACTTTTTAATTTAAAGAGAGGAAGATCCCCGGCCGGGCGCAGTGGCTCACGCCTGTAATCCCAGCACTTTGGGAGGCTGAGGCGGGTGGATCACGAGGTCAAGATATCGAGACCATCCTGGTCAACATAGTGGACCACTAATCGTTCTATCCAATATAACAATTTTTATTTGTCTCTACTCAAAATACAAAAATTTAGCTGGGCATGGTGGCGCATGCCTGTAATCCCAGCTACTCGGGAGGCTGAGGCAGGAGAATTGCCTGAACCTAGGAGGCAGAGGTTGCGGTGAGCCGAGATCGTGCCACTGCACTCCAGCCTGGGTAACAGGAGTGAAACTCCGCCTTCAAAAAAAAAAAAAAAAAAAAGAGAAGAAGCTCCCCAAACTAAGATGACCCATGCTTTCTCTTTTCAGTGCCTAGTAGCAGTTTGCTAGGCAGACAGGGCCGATGCTATTACCTGAGTTCAAAATAACTGGCACCCTTTCCTGTTTTTTAGGAGATGTCCTAGTTAAGGAGATGTCATAAGGTCAGCATTTGAGGGGAGAGAGGAAAAGGGGTCTTTAAGTTTTGAAGTTTCCCTTTTCTTGCTCTGATTCCAGCAGGAAAGCACCAGGCACATAGCCCGAAAAGTTAACCTAAGTGGACCAAAAGAGCTCAGAATAAGGGCCCCTCTGTCTATACCCAAGGCCCTCTCCAGCCAGCCTTCATTCCAAAATGCAGGAGATCAGCCTGGGCCCCACCTCAACTTTGAATGAGAATGAGACGCTTTCCAGGGAGGCAGGTATTTGGCCCACCCATTTCTCGGCCCTCCCTCACAAGTCAGGAGGCAGCAAAGGCCAGAAGAGAGGCTCTCAGAACACAGTCAGGAGGCATCGCTTCATCTCAGCATCTCTGGTTCATTTTCTTACCAACTCCCACGTGCACAGGAATGTAATCCTCAATTTCTCCGCTTATAACCAACACCGGGCTTTATCTCGTCTCAGATGATGCGGTGAGTGGGAAGAAAACGAAAGGGAAAGAGCTGACACAGAAAGAGGCCGTGGACCTTTGTGGAACTCACCGTTTTAGGCGTATGACGCAGATACGGGGAGAGAACTGGGGAGAGTAAGGGGTGGATCAGACACTTCTGGATGTACCAAACCTTCTTGCAGCATTGCAGTGTTTTCAGAAAAGCCTTCAGAAGTCACCTGGGTCCATCACTTCCTTTCGACAGACTTTAGAGACTGAGCTCAGAGAGGCTGGGACTCTCCCGGAGGTAAATGAGGCCAGCGCGGGAGCCAGGTCGGGGACTCCCAGCCCACTGCCCTCCCCAGCAGACCAGGTGAATTCCTTAACTTCCTCCCTGGGCTTAGTTCAAAGTTCTCGGTTCTGTTAACTTCCTCCCTGAACTGCCATCAAGTTCTCGGCTTAGCGGAAATATTTTTAGCCTTGACCACATCGTGGACAGCCGTTCTGTTCTCCATGATCCAAGTGCTCAGACGAAAGGAAAACGAAGCGTCCAGAGCAATTCTGGGCCCAGATATCTGCACGATCAGTTCTCTCAGGGCTGGGCTGTCAGCTGAGCTAAGGGAGGCAGACGCCTTCTGGGTCAGGGTCTGTGTTTTGTTTCTGATGTAAACAGAGAACTGAAGGTCTGTTTTAACTGCCTCGTTACTGATAAGATGACAGACTTTCCCACTGTTCCTCTCAGCACAAGTCACAAGAAGCGCTAGCAAAACAAATCCACGGTCACATCCTTTGTCACTGTGATATGTTTAGCAGATCGGACGTGTCTTGGGGAACATGACTACTTAGCCAGGCTGGCAGGGCCTCATCACCAAACAGCTTTTAATCCAGCAAGAGAACTTAGAAAACAGTCTTCAGAAAGAATCTGAGGGGTGGTAGGGGGATGTCAAGGTTGAGCTCTCCATCTGGACCTGTGGTTTTTCAGGAAGGTTCCTCTCTAAACCACGGCAGCTCTGGCCTGATGGGCTATCACAGCTCCAGAGGAATGCCATTATCACAGCCTGGGAACATGCACACAGAACCCACACCGCATGAGGGGGTCAGAGCTAACGAACCTGGGGTTGCCATTTCCTTCTCTCTCAGGAGCAAAGTAGCACAAGTATCCCACTTGTTTGCAAAGAAATCTGTCAATAGGGGCCTAACAGAATATGGAAAAGCAGCCAGCGATTCACCTTCTACTTCGAGCAGGGATGCCTGCTCCTAAGGTGCGATCCCCAAGCTCTGGGACTTCCCGTTCTTGGTCACCCTGAATTGAGGGAACGGAAGTCCATATGAATAAGAGACCAGAGGAAAGTGCCCTTCGGAACAGAGAAGAATGGATAGAGAGGATAAAAACAGAAAGCAGAAAGTGGTTACAAATAACCATCTATGGCCGGGCGCGGTGGCTCAAGCCTGTAATCCCAGCACTTTGGGAGGCCGAGGCGGGTGGATCACGAGGTCAAGAGATCGAGACCATCCTGGTCAACATGGTGAAACCCCGTCTCTACTAAAAATATAACAAATTAGCTGGGCATGGTGGTGTGTGCCTGTAATCCCAGCTACTCGGGAGGCTGAGGCAGGAGAATCGCCTGAACCCAGGAGGCGGAGGTTGCGGTGAGCCGAGATCGCGCCATTGCACTCCAGCCTGGGTAACAAGAGCGAAACTCCGTCTCAAAAAATAAATAAATAAATAAAATAATAAAATAAAATAACCATCTAATGGCCATAACAGGAGAAGTGCTTTTCAGAGCTGAGGCCCTGAAGGTCATCGGTTCCACACGCAAGTGTGTGGCTTTGGGAGCGGACACAAAGTTGGGTGCAACAGAAGGCAGGCGCTATGATGCAGCCTTTTCCTCCATAGGTTAATCAGCAGCACATGCACCTCCGAAGCACTCACAATCAGTAACAGTAACACGTGACTGCTTTTTGCAGTTTTGGAAAGAGTTTCACTTATAGTTGATCCTTATGCCCACGCTGTGAGGCCATCGGGGAGGGTTATTCTCACGTTAGACAGTGGAACTGATCCCTCAAGCTACCTGCTGTATTATCCAAAGGCTTTCTGCCTTTGTTTCCATGTTGTCATTAAGCCAAGGTTCAGATGGGCTTTGAGAGAGGTTGGGAGTAGCAGGTGAGCTCTGGGGAGAGCAGTGAGATCCCTAGGAAACAGTGTCACTGTCAGCTAGCCTCTGTGTCCCCAGCGCATGCCCAAACCACTTGACAGATAAAATGCAGAAACATTTTGAGAAGAGGATTCAGAACACTCAGTGGCAGTTTCAAAGATAATTAATTTGTATTCACTAGTCTCAACCCTTCGTTTATAAAATAGCTGTGGATACATAAAGAAACGTCCAATGATAGAACCTGCTTTCAGTGACAACTTACCCAGCTGTACGCCTGGGGCCTGGAAATGGCGCTGGACAAACCGCATATCAACATTTAGAAAATCCTTCACTCTTTCTTCACTAGCATTGGCACTTTCTTAATTAAAAACACGAAAACAAAACCTAAAATCCTTGAAACGATGTCAGGGACAGATTAGGAAATTATCTGACCAAGGATTAAAATTTAAAATCTAAAATACAAGTAATCCGGGCAAAGTCTCTCCTAGAAGCTTATTACGGTGACGACTATTCAACCTTCCATCCATTTTCTTCCATCAATTTCCCTCACAGCTCTCACTGAATCCACAGCTTTAACCCTTCATGTTTTTTTTTTTTTTTTTGAACGGGCTCTTGTTACCCAGGCTGGAGTGCAATGGCGTGATCTCGGCTCACCGCAACCTCCGCCCCCTGGGTTCAGGCGATTCTCCTGCCTCAGCCTCCTGAGTAGCTGGGATTACAGGCACGCGCCACCATGCCCAGCTAATTTTTTGTATTTTTAGTAGAGACGGGGTTTCACCATGTTGACCAGGATGGTCTCGATCTCTTGACCTCGTGATCTACACCCGCCTCAGCCTCCGAAAGTGCTGGAATTACAGGCGTGAGCCACCGCGCCCGGCCCAACCCTTCATGTTTCTAACTGAATCCACAGGTTTAACCCTTCATGTTCCTTTTCCACACAGGACAATCCACACGTCATTCATCTCTAGAATAGTACCTGTTCCCTGCTCCTACTGATCCTCTCAGACAGCAAATCCGAGTTGTTTCTTTCTTCTTCCAGCTCCATCTCCAGTTGAGAGACCTTGTCCTAAGAAAGAAATCACAAACACAGTGAACGTAACTTGCACTGACGGGGATTAGGAGCAAATGCCCCATACAGGCACAACCCTGAGTGCAAATGAGAGCTGACTACCCTCAGGGTTTCGAAAAACAGTGTATCTATTTCTTACACTGCTCAAAGGAGGTATTTCTAAAACTACGTATTTCATGACCTGTAATGTATAATATAATGGCGTATGTAGAAAACACATCGAAGAAGGAAAAACATTATCCCAAACCCTGATGCAAACACTAAGGATATTCGAGCATGTTTCTGTCCAGGCTTCGCTTCTCCCTGTGAATCAGTAACTTTAAACAGATCTACACAAGCCAGTTTCCTATTAAAGGACAATGTGGAAAACCCGCTTCTTGCTCAGGACAATCTTTTGCCTGTATCCTGCTCGGCGTTTCCACGATCCCCGCAGGAGTAAATCCGTCCTCTACGGAACAGCACGCATGTGCACTGTGCACTCCCAAACCCGCACTGGCCTAACCAAAAGCCAGTGCTAACCACTTCTGTTAAACTCATCATCACTTAAGAATAATAATTTGTGGCTTCCTGGTTGGCTCCTCATCTAACCTAATTGAGTGTCAAGAAAAAAAAATTTCAAAGCAGCTTTGTATATGAAGAAAAGAGGCTTCGAACATCAGCCACCGACTTAGAACTGGGGTCTGTGGCTCTCGAGCATCTGTTTCTCCTGTCACCAGCCAATCTGTCATAGGTCTAAGGAAACTCAGAGCCACAAAGGCTACAAGGCAATTGGCATTCCAAATTTTAAATGTGAACCTGCAGCATTTGTATATAAATATTGTCTCTGCAATTGCCAAAGTCGATCGACAAGCAATGGACACTTCTATCCCTAAATATTATTTTATTTATCAAAATTAAAACACCCAGGATTCATGTGAATGATTACCTGCCTGTGAATGGCCCCCAGAGAATGATCCAAACCTACAGGGAAGCCAGAGAGCCCTTTCCCAACAGCCAACCATCTCAAAGGCCAGCTTGGATTGGAGCTGGGCCCTGCAACAAAGCCTCCTGTTTATCCACTGATTCCTGATGGCTCTAAGACAGGACTCACTATAGTCACACATCACTCAGGATCCGCAAGAGCTGCATTTACAAACATCAGCCACCTGAGTTTCTGAGTTTACAGAAAACGTCCACCGTCAGAAGAGCTCTTGAGTCTTGAAAACTAACTTAGGTGCTAGTGAATGAGCCGGCAAGACACAGTCCCAGCAAGACGGTTTCCTCTTGGGGGAGGAAACACCCCTCAGCTGCATCTCCTGGTAGCAGGCTCTTGAGAGCTACTCATTTTGTAATTAATGGAAAAATGCCGAAATAATGCAAAGGAAATGTTTTCTTTAGCCAGCATACATTAGCAAGAAATGACCCAACAACCCAATCTTCAGCTAAAAGCACTTCTTTATAGGACTCTCTTGCCTGAAATCCGTAGTGCACAGAACCCAGCAGGAGTGTTAGGGGTCCAGGCCAGGATTCCTCCAAAGGGTCATTCCCCACCGCCTGAAGGGGCTTTAGCTCATTTTGAGCCAGGTTGTTTAGGCCCTAGAATAATCGGTTTCTAGTTAAGTGGGGATGACCTTAGCTTGCCTTAAAATTACCTCCCCTAAAGAGATCAGAACTAGGACATTAGCAAATGTACAGCAATCCTACAAAAGAGCAATAAAACTGTAATCAGGATATTCTAGTCTCTGAAAGAGGCCCAGCTAATAAAATCTTCAGTGACTGAGAAAACACTCCCGAGATATAAACAGAGCCCCCTGAAGGCTTTAAAAGTTATTTCTGTTTATTTGCAAAGTTGAATCAGGAATTCCATTGATTTTGAATTTAAGCTGTCTCTCCATGGCCTTGAGCACTGCCTGTCTTTTATCAAAACCTTGACAATTTTAACTTCCCCAAAAGTCTAAGTTCCACTGGGGTGTGTGTGTGTGTGTGTGTGTGTGTGTGTGTGTGAGGGGGAGTGTGTGTGTGTGTCTGCGGGTTGGTCTGGCTCCTACGAATTATTCTTTTTTAAAAGTTCAGATCGAGTAATTCTAAGGTTTTTCTTGTCAACGTCAGTGAACTGTTCATACTTAGAGTCTGTTAATTCACTCACACTTTTCTGATGTGGTGTGTTTTCAGCTCGTGACTAGATGCCCCCATCTGGTGACTACATTCTGATAACGCTGTCTTGTCTCGGATTGTCTACATACTATGTACACCATGGCGAACTGAGCCACAGTTAGCCGTGAGCTCTGGCAAAGCCAGATAACCTCTAAGGGAAAATGGGCCAGAAACAGGAAGGAAGAATGGAGCACGGGTGTGGCAAAGGAAGGACGATGATTCCTAGGAGGCTCCTCTCTGGACATACAGTCTGATTCCTTCTAGTTAGCTGGAGGCACTGCCCCACAGAACAAAACGGAAAGGAACTATCTGCATCTTTATGCAAAATCATCTAACATCCCTGGGAATCTGTTCCATTTCCTCTCAAGACAATGAGAACGTGAGACTAAATTATGTCCATCATTCCTTCTGGCTCTGATGTCCTGAGTCTGTAAATGACTGGCCTCTTCCTTCAATCAAGAAATGACCTCACATTGCAGTCAGGGGCCCCAAACTGGCTGTACTATGTCTCCTAACCTATCAATGTTCTTCTCCTCCTTCAAGGCCCAGTATAAATGCCACCTTCTCCATGAAGCCTTTCCTAATTCCACCCCAAGCCCCCACCTTCAACAATATTTCAATGCTTCTGCAATGATGAAAAATAAATAGAGTTGTAGTACTTCGCCTAGCCCAGCAAGCATTCATTTTTAGCTCGCTCATCTAGTACCATGTTTTTCTGTCTGTGTAACTTCTGCATTGCCTTCACTACACTGCCTTACATAAACCAAATCACAATAAAGTTCATATTAAATACAAAAAAAAAAAAAAACAATGACCTCACTACACCCAGCTGTGAGAGAGAATAAAAGCTCAAGACCTCCCAGAGGCTGAACTGAGAGCAGAGAGCCCACAGTCGCTGCTCTCCAGGGGTCCCCCAGCTCAAACTGTGCGGTCCACAGACCTCCATCTGCTTCAGCAGTCTGCTGCGGTCATCCTTGAGGTGACTCCTGGCTTCCAGCTCATACTCCAGGTCCTTCAGCGTCTGCTCCAGAAGCTGCCTTTTTGTGAGTCCTTCGTCCTGAGCTCTCTGGTAGGCCCGTACCTCTTCCTCCATCAGCTGCATCTAGGAAAAGAGACAGCTGGGGTGGTTTTCTGGGGGGCATCGGGAGCATAGAGACCTCCACAGACAGTGCAAAGGCTGACCCCACAAAAGGAAGATCTGGTGGACCCCCATAATACGGGAGATCAGAAGACTCTGTGCAAGTCCTACCTCCCTCTGGGCCTCAGCTTCCTTTTTGTTAAAAAATAAAGGGGGGGGCGGCGGTGGTTTCCAGCTACAGGCAGCAACCTATTAGGTTACAAATTCTATTTGGTAGATGTTGACCATCATTTTGTAATTAAATAGAACAGAAGAAATATCAGAGTATTTGCAAATACTGGTTTGTAAATCTTTTGTACCAGATACTCACATATGTGTGCCGATGAGTGTATTCCTGGGTTGCAATGCAAGATGTAGTTCTTTTCTTTCTTCTTCTTCTTTTGAGATGGAGTCTTGCTCTGTTGCCCAGGCTGGAGTGCAGTGGCACGATCTTGCCTCACTGCAGCCTCCACCTCCCAGGTTCAAACAATTCTCCTGCCTCAGCCTCCCAAGTAACTGGGATTACAGGTGCATGTCATCATGCCCTACTAATTTTTGCATTTTTAATAGAGATGGAGTTTCGACATGGTGGCCAGGCTGGTCTTGAACTCCTGACCTCAAGTGATGCCCACCTCGGTCTCCCAAAGTATTGGGGTTACAGGTAGAGCCACCATGCGTGGCTGAATGCAAAATATAGTTCTTACTAGGTCATGTTAAAAACGCTCGAGAGCCCCTGAACGAAATACATGTTTCCCAGAGGATAATTTGTTGCCCACCTGTATCACTGTCACCTCGAAAGGGATTTAAACTTAGTGTAAAAAAAAAAAAAAACATACAACTAAATTAATGACCACAAAACAACCTACTGGCACGAAACCTAACGATATACACAGGCACGTTAGGGAAAGCCACTGCTTTGCAGAAAATAATCAGCTATCAGAATTTACGGTGTTGGTTTCTTTTCGCCCACAAGGTGGCGCTCCACTGACAGCTCTGAAGAAAGTGCAACCGACAAAACAGCTTGATTCACAAGGGCCAGTCTGTGTCTTGCACTTCTCTGCAAGTTCAAGTGCACAGTAGGTCTTCCGTAAACATCTGCGTGGGCTGATCCAGTGAAGCCCCAGGCTGTCTGCTTTGTTCTAAGTGTCCTACCCTCTTGGAGTTGGCAGAGTACTAGGTAGAGCTAGTCTCAGAAATAGAATAGGCCGGGGTTCTGTTTCCTTCAGTGCCTAAGAAAGCACGTGGCAAACTCCACTACAGAATGCCACCCTTCTGGGACGTCTGCCACAGGGGAGCTGGAAAGCCCCAGGTGAGGTAGCTTCAGGAGACCCATGGGAAACCTGGGCAAATGTGTTCTTCTCCGGGAGGCTGACAGGAGCACACACCGTTTATTTCTATGAGAACAGCCTGGCCTTGAAGATGACGTCTCCAGATGGAGACCCTCATGTGATTTTTGTGGTAACCATGACAGACAGTACATGAAAGCACAGGATGAAAATCACCCCGTGGAAAAAGAAGGATGGGATCTTCTCTAGATACAGAGGGTATGCTACATTCCAGAGCATTTAAAAAAAAAAAAAAAAAAAATCACTCTATGACTCAGTTTCCTTATCTGCAACATTGGGATAATTATAAAACCCGCCTTCTAAAGCTATTATGAGAATCAAATGAGATGATACCCAAAAAGAATAAGGGTATGAGAGTCAGAAAGAATGACAGGCAAATGTGCAGCCTGTTTCCTTCCTATCCCCCTTCCTAATGTCCAAAGTGCCCCCCTCCACTGCTTAGCACAGCCCCGCCTTCCACACCCAGCAGGTCCCTTTTAATGCCCTGTAGGGCCCCCATTATACTCAGAGTCCTTGATGAGAGCAGGCAGAAGAGAATAATTAGCAAGAATAAGCAAACAACTTTTGAACGTCCTCGAGCTACCTCTAAGTAGTTAAAATCACCCTTTGCTAAAGAGGATTTAGAACATAAACTTAACAATGATAAACAGTAAGTCTCAATTCTCTAAAGATCATGCTCATCAGAGGCAGAATGGGTGAAAATGCCTATTTCTCTCAAAGCAAAGGCAGCAACTATTACAGCATTTAGAATGGACCCCTGTAGCTTTTGTTGTTTTTTTTTTTATAACCAGGATATTCAACTCAGCTCAATCAAACCACAAGATGAGAGGCAGTGAACAGCACTGAGCTTGAGATTTTTAAGGATCCAGAATGACCTTGGCTTGTTGACTGACTTCTGTTTTTTCTGAGACGGAGTTGCGCTCTGGTTACCCAGGCTGGAGTGCAATGGCACGATCTCGGCTCACCGCAACCTCCGCCTCCTGGGTTCAGGCAATTCTCCTGCCTCAGCCTCCTGAGTAGCTGGGATTACAGGCACGTGCCACCACGCCCAGCTAATTTTTGTATTTTTAGTAGAGACAGGGTTTCACCACGTTGACCAGGATGGTCTCGATCTCTTGACCTCATGATCCACCCGCCTCGGCCTCCCAAAGTGCTGGGATTACAGGCTTGAGCCACCGTGCCACTCTAGCATGGTAATCAAGGGTGGTATCTCACTGTAGTTTCCCTGCAGAATCATGAGGTGTCCCTGTCTGTCGCTCACATGGAAACAATGTCTCACAGGGCTGCGTCAGTGAGAAAAATCTAGGAAGGGCCATCTTTCTTTTCCTTGCAAGGAATCTGTGTTTTGGAATGACTGCTCTTTTATAAACAACACTGGTCTCCAACTGGCCTTAACTAGTCTCTCTGGACCTCAGTTTCCTTATCTAACTAGAGGATCTCTACATTTTCTTCCAACCCGAGGATTCTATCATTTAAAAAAAATCATTATATAAAAAGAAATGGGAAGTACTTTTGGGGTCATTGTGACACTACGATCTTTTAAAGTCAAAACAGCCCAGGTGCTTGTTGGTGTTCTGGCAAAAATCGGAATCTTTGTGCCTGGGCTGTAGTCACGAACATGATTTCTTTTTAACGCCACAGAGAACTGTGATGTCGTGTGCTAATTTCAGTTCTTACTTGGGGTCCTCTATCATATGACTCTGAGCCAGAGGGGATCTGTTATGAGGGGCCTTTCAGAGTGTCCCAGAAGCCTGCAATACATACCTATTGTTCTTTTACACAGTTTCAGCACTGACTCACGGGTGACTTTTCTTTGATCGTCGAATAAACTATAGTTTGTTTTTTTAATTGTTTTCCTGTGGAATCGTGGTGCTCTTGGCACTGTTCAAAAAAACCCATAAACTTTAAAATTTAAGAAAGGGTCATTAATATTTACGAAGGGTCTGGGATGTACAGACTTGCTACTACACAGTTTTATATTATCTCACTTAATTATTAAGTCATAATATTTGGTATATTTTTAAAGATGTAGAAACATGCTCAGAAGACTGGGGTTACTTGCTCCAAGTGACGAAGCAGGCAAGAGGTACGGCTAAAATCAGCATACACTGTGCTTGCATTTGGAAGCCTCCAGCTTTCCGGTAAAACAATCAAGAACATCCCCTTTCTTTTTCTCAGTTCTTTAGAAGACAAGCCTGAAGAGAGCTAACATTTGGGATTCTTTGCTGTGTTGTTCTTAAATATAAAACCAACGTTTTAATAATTTCAGCACTCATAAATTCCCGAGGATTTCTTTTAGTCACCATCATTGTTGTTCTGAAACTCTTGTCCGCCACCCTCATCCCCAAAAAAGTCTGTATTTTCAAAAATGAATGGCCAAAAAACAGTCAGTTACTGTAATCCCTGTTCCAGCATTAAATTAAAACAGGAAGGCATATAAATAATCATCTGGACACAGCTGGGCACATCACGGCTGCTCCATAAACGGCAGCTAAACATTTCAGGCGAAAAACTATAGATTCGTCCAGAAAATGTTCAGGTTAAAGCTGTGTCCGTTTCGCCTCGCAGTCCACTGGTGGGCCCTTTGTGCTCCAGAATGCCACTTGCCCAAAGAACCATCCAGAAAAGAAGGTGAAGAATGAAGAGTCAAGGAGAAAAGCCGTCTCATGAATCTACCCCCAAGTCCCTCATAGTTGAATTTCAGGGCAAAAAAATACTCTGGATAAGGGATAAAGGAAGAAAGGATCTGGCCAGCCATTACCTCATCCTGCATTTTCACAGCTGTGAGTTGGAACTTTTCTGCCTCCAGGGTTTTCTCCTTCAACTGTCTTTGCATTTCTGCGAGCTCCCTGCGATTTTTCTCCTTGTACTCGTCCAGCTGGTTCTGGAGCTCCAGGGTCGATATGCGGGAGGCCTCAACAATGTCTGCCATCTGAAAGAAGTGACACAGGCGTGAGCCCACCCTGGAATGCTCTATCTGAGACCGACACACAACACATCTCCTTTCCCCCTTTCTTCTCCAGCCTCCTCAAGGACAGCCGAGCGCCTGATCCTGAGCCGGCCAGGTGTGGGAACCTGTGAGTTGGAAGCGGCATGGAGGAGTGAGCAGGTACATCCTTTGGATCCAGGCACGCAGCCTCAGGGCCCTATGCCTCCTGTGCCACTTTCCAGTTCATGACTGGGGCACATCATTATCCTCCCTGGGCCCTGGCTGTGTTTGCGTTGGAAACACTGAAATCAAACCTACCGTACAGGGTTGTTGTCAGAATCAGTATCTATAGATACAGAGAAAACGTTATCGGCAGATACAGATAAAACTCTAGTTAGAAACAAAATAGCTAGTAAAGTGCCTGGTACCTAACATGCATCGGAAAACAGCAGACACCCGTGTCAGCTCCCAGAATACAGAAAGCCTGCCGGATGTGTGCCTTTCCCCTTCTGCGTACGTCGAGGCAGGGATGAAGAGAAAGAGCAGCAGCCACTGAGCTTTGAAGCTGCCTTCTGCACTCCTGGACAAGTAATAGGGATGCCAAACGCAGCCTCGGCACAGAGATGTTGGTTCTGACTCAGTCAACATTGGTTCCGTCTGCGGCACAGAGACGTTGATTCTGATTCAGTCAACACTGGTTCTGTCTGAAACACAGGCTTCTTCTACTGTTCAAAGGTGATTCTGGTGCCCAGAATCCAGAGGGTACCGGCATTAACGTTTTCTGGACCAATTTCTCTGTTATCTAGTCAACAAATCCAAAGAGCTGCCTCCAGGGACCTGCAAATCCCTGACACTTCTGTGCTTAGACCTAACTGCAGGTTTCCCAGGCTTTCACCAGACCCTCAGAGGGTGCTGGGTCCGACAGAGGCACCTGGCCCTACACCCCCTTTCCTCCTCCAGCGCCTCACCTCCTTCTGCAGTTTCTCGATGGTCTTGTCCAGGTCCCACCGCTCGTTCTCCATCTCGTTCTTCAGCCTTCTTAGCTGCTCCTTCTGCTCATTCTCCTCTTTCAGCTTCTCAGACAACTGTTTCTGCTCCTGGGTGGTCCAACTCAGATTTCTCTGCAGATGGCAGGGAAAGGACAGTTCTGTCACCTACCAACCAGGTAGCCACAAGGATGGGTGGCACAGGGTCCTTCCCAGTCATACTGCAAAGCAAACAGATCTGTTAAATCCATGAGAAGGAAGAAGATCAAGAGGACAGAAGGACATTGTTGATTCTGAAATCCAGAACCAAAAAGGAAAGTTGCCTTACCCAAAAACATTCACAGGAATGAAGGGGCAGACAAACAATGTATTACAGAAATACATGGTCAAAGCTGCTGGTGGTGGGACCGGGACAGTGTCTAAAAACCTGAATATTCGTGCTTGAAAATCGAGGTGAGCTCGTATATTACAACCATCTAAACTTACTCGGCAATTTATATCCTATGATACACAGCATCACACCTAATATTCCAGTATTTACTGGGCTGTGTGGATGATTCTTACAGTTGGAATAACTAAAAATGAATCGCTGTGAAAAGAGAACACCACCCCACAGAACCAAGGTCCACTTGGGTAAAGGCAGTTGAACACAACAGAATCCATGAATTGGACTCAGACTCAGGCAAAAGGGAACTTGGAAACCCGCCGACTGATGAACTTGATGAACAGACGGTGCTGAATGGAAGGGACACTAGGCAGATCAAGTACTGGTCAGGTAGGTGGTTATTTATTGAATCAGCACCAAACGGCCAGCGCCTACCATAAAACACAACCATCTTGAATATACGACTCCCCTTGGCTCCCTGAGGATCTCATCTCACAACGTCACACAGGCTTAAGTCCTTTATGCAAACAACATGTAATTCCAACCTAAAATCCTAAAATACTATAGGAAGGTTACGGTGGCTTCTTTGAATGGCTAAGCGTTAGGGCTGGGTATGGGAAGAGTAAGAGGCACAGCTCAGAACAGAGCAACCTGACTCAGACACAGGCTGGCTCATCTCGAAAACCTCAGGAACCGAGGGCTGACTGTGGGCCCGACAGGAACAGCTCCGGGCCTTCCAGGTCAGTGGCTGCACAAGAACAATGCTTTGTATTTGTACAGAGCTTAACAGTTTACAAGCTGCAGCCACGGGCAGTAACCGAGGAGCTTGAAAACATTCCAAAGCACTTGGGACTCTGCTGCTTTGCAGAGCATAGGAAGCGATCTGCTCTGCCAACCACGTGACGTGGGGCAAAAACACCACCCGTGGCGGCTTCCGGTCCCTGGGCTCTGCTGGGCTGGCTGCGCTTTGAGAAGCAGCCAACCTGGCTGGGCTGCTGAATTTAATTGCTGCAGGGAACCAGGGTCAACAAAAGCTGTTGGGGAAAACAGGGAAGCAAAAACAAAGGTAATCAGAAGTTCAGCGTGGGGGGAGTCAGCAGGAGCGGCCCCAGCACAGCTACCGCTGGGCACCCACCAGTAGCAGGGTGAAACCTGGGGCTTCTGTTGATAGCTGATATAGCGGCGTCCGGGCAAAGGGTGAGGAGGAGTTACAGAACCAGTGAGGTATGAGACAAAACCTTCAAAACACGTGTCCTAACAATGTCAGCTCAAAGGGCCCACAATGGCTTCCTGTAGAACCTTCTGGAGGCAACTCAACCCTCTCCCGCTAGGAATCCCCCAGCCTCTCTTTATCCTCCTCTTAGACCCCAGCTCCCAGGGCCTCAGGCAGCAGACAAGCCCACCCAGTTCTGCTCAGCCTCCATGTGGCTTGTGCATGCATTTCTGCTCCACTCCCGGCTCAGGCAGGGCTGCCTGGCACCTTCTCCTCACCACAAGAGACACCTGAGTCTCACCACTCCGGACCTAGGGGCCTGCCAACACCCCCCACCACAACACACCTACATCGCCCAGAAGAATAAGCTTGCTACATTATTTTTAACTCATTTTTTGTATGCTGGCCTCTTTTGCAAGATAGTAAGCTCTGTAAAGGCAAGGGAGAGATTTTCTGTCTATCTGGGTATGTTCACTATTAGGCGTATGATAAACACTTACTGTTAAAAATGAATGCCTATCCCCAAAAGCGATTCCAAGGCTTCTTATGTTAGAATCACCAAGTAAAGAAGGGATATCCGTACTTAAAATGTAGATTCCAGCTTTTTCTGATGGAATCATGATTTTTCTTAGCATGGGACCCATCAGCATTTGCATTTGAAAACTCCTCAGATAATTCCACTATGTACTAAGGTTTAGAAACACTGTTGAGGGCCGGGCACGGTGGCTCATGCCTGTTATCCCAGCACTTTGGGAGGCCGAGGCGGGTGGATCACGAGGTCAAGAGATCGAGACCATCCTGGTCAACATGGTGAAACCCCGTTTCTACTAAAAATACAAAAAATTAGCTGGGCGTGGTGGCGCGTGCCTGTAATCCCAGCTACTCGGGAGGCTAAGGCAGGAGAATTGCCTGAACCCAGGAGGCGGAGGTTGCGGTGAGCTGAGATCACGCCACTGCACTCCAGCCTGGGTAACAAGAGCGAAACTCCGTCTCAAAGAAAAAAAAAAAGAAACACTGTTTAGTACAAAGATTTGCCTCCTCTGTTATTCAAGAAATAGATCCCAGTAAGTCACTGCTGAGAAAGCGTCCCAAATTCACATGAAAAGAAGCAAACTTGGCAACTTTGCATTTTTCTGACCTTTCATGTAGACATATTAGAAGTGAAATGCTCTGTAGCTACAGAGACTCTATTCCCAAGGCCAGCAATACAAGCTCCTCGGTGAATAAGGAGGTGAAAATCCGGGGGAGACAGATCAGGTTAGAGAGAGAATCTGAAACACAACACTGGGAGATGTAGGGTAAGTGTCCCTGAGCCTGGAGACCATTTTCTGTCAGCAGACACAGAGACTTTTACCCGCTGACTGAGGTCCCGATTAGCTCAAATTAACAACCAAGATGCAGGTGAGCCCGCGGGTGTCAAGGAATGGAACGAGCAGCTTCACCAGAAGGAAGCTGGGCTTCTCGGAGCCCCTGCCACTCAGCATCTGGGGGTTGCAATAGGGGAAGCCTTTGGCCCTTTTTCCTCAGTTGTGTCAATACTCAAAAGTCCAATGGGGAGGAAGGTAAAGGCCTAGGGAAAACGTGTGCACCATTATCCCTTCCTGAAGGAAAGAACTGTGGTTTCTCCAGAGAAGTTTCCTTTACTGCCCCATCTGCGGAAGGCACTTTTAAATAGAATCATAGACGCCTTGCCTTAAATGCGGTGCCAGTAGCCCTAGGCAGCAGCGCAGCCCCGAAGCAAGTGGTCAGTCAGGGCTTGCGCAAACCAAGAAGGGCATCTTTATGGCCCTCTGCTACTTTTTAACGGAGTCACGGTAAACCAGACATACGTTTACCACGGTCTCCAGCTACTATTTAAAGAAATCTATTTATCTTACCCGAAGATGCCATAGACTCATAAGCACAGACACAGAAGAACACCAGCTACTTCTTCCTTTCCTCAAGGGCCAAACCAAAAACAGAAGCTGAGTATCCAGTTTCCAATTTTAAAAGAAAACATTTCGGGGTGATGGTGCTTTTTTCATGGCATTACTTTTATGACCAGATAATTCAGGTAAAGAGAGCGAAACTGTCAGGCCCATTTAAAATTCTTGCCAGCTGTCCTGCCAGCGCCTGACACGGCCACGCACCGCACGACGCACTCCCACCGTCTCCGCACCACCGCGAGAACGGGCCTCAACCAAAGTAACATGTCAGGGATGATTTCCAGAGGTGGGGGTGGGTCTTTAGACCCCAAGGCCATCATCTGTTCTGTGCACTAAATTAACCACGAGCCCCAGATTCCCAGCTGGGGAACAACTTCCATATGTGTGAAAAGTTTCTGTTTCACCAAAGGCAAAGATCTGAGAGAGACCCATAGCTGCACCTGGCACTTGGTGTGGACATACCATAAGGGTACAGGTGCTTGTCCCCATAGAATACCAATGTTTTTCCTTTCTTTCTGCCCCCAACCAGCTCACAAATTTAAACCCCACTCCGGCAGCCAGGATGGGTCACAGGAACCAACCTAAGCCTTAAACAGCAGCACAACAAAACTGCGATCCACACAAAATCAACTTCACAGAGTTTTGTAAAGAAGATCTAGATTTGGGCTGGGCGCGGTGGCTCAAGCCTGTAATCCCAGCACTTTGGAAGGCCGAGGCGGGTGGATCATGAGGTCAAGAGATCGAGACCATCCTGGTCAACATGGTGAAACCCCGTCTCTACTAAAAATACAAAAAATTAGCTGGGCATGGTGGTGCGTGCCTGTAATCCCAGCTACTCGGGAGGCTGAGGCAGGAGAATTGCCTGAACCCGGGAGGCGGAGGTTGCGGTGAGCCGAGATCGTGCCATTGCACTCCAGCCTGGGTAACAAGAGCAAAACTTCGTCTCAAAAAAAAAGAAGATCTAGATTTAAAGAAATTTTTAAAAATCTAAGTGAAGGCAGTCAGACATTGAACTCAGGAAAAAGTGAACTTTACTATATGTAAACATGAGCTTTGTCCCGAGAGGAGGAGCAGCCACAGGCTTCTGATTTTGAGGGAGCGTCCCCAAGCTAGGCTGACCTGTGGGAATCCTTCCCCTCTCTCTACCCTAGGAGAGAAGCTGAATCCGTTGCAGGAGAGCTGCAACCAGGCATTTACAAATCTGAACCTGACTCGGCTCTTACCACTTTTTTTTTTTTTTTTGAGACGGAGTTTCCCTCTTGTTGCCCAGCCTGGAGTGCAATGGCGCGATCTCGGCTCACCACAACCTCCGCCTCCTGGGTTCAGGCAATTCTCCTGCCTCAGCCTCCCGAGTAGCTGGGATTACAGGCACATGCCACCATGCCCAGCTGATTTTTTGTATTTTTAGTAGAGATGGGGTTTCACCTTGTTAACCACGATGGTCTCGATCTCTTGACCTCGTGATCCACCTGCCTCAGCCTCCCAAAGTGCTGGGATTACAGGCGTGAGTCACTGCGCCCGGCCGACTCTTACCACTTTTAATGTCCCCAGTTCACCTATCCCTGAGTACGAGTGAGTCCTGAATAGAAAACCTGAATAACAATCTTCCCCTTAGACAACTCTCAAAAACACTGGCTTCTATCTCCTCAGAAACTCACCTGACAGATGGAAGCAACAACCTGAGAGCCAACAGGAGGAGAACACACGTGCATCACGCTGAGGTCACGGTGCAGTCACTCAGAACTGCAGTGCAGACCTTTCTTGAGAATGTACTTCAAATGAGAAAATCTAATTTTCTAAGGACCTACTGATTTTGAATACGATAGCTACCCAGTTTCAAGGAAATCAGTTCCTCCTGCCTCTCTGAATGGCCATCCTGAAGGACTGTAATCTAAGGAGAGCATTTGCCCAGAGCAGAAGGGAAATTGGCTTCTGCCAAAAAGCAGACTCCACACGGCCTTGGGGGCCAATCCTGCCGGCCTTCTCACACAATTCATACTTTATCTTTGGAAAGCTGTCAAGCTTTGTAGCGTCTAAGCCGAGGTCTCTCTCCCTTGGCACGGCTGACACCTGCGGCCACATGATTCTTGGTAGTGGGGGCTGTCCTGCACTTTGTAGGGTGTTTAACAGCAGCCCTGTTTGCCCCTCAGGAGATGCCAGCAGCATCTCCCCACTTGTGACATCCAAAATTGTGTTCGGGCATTACCAAATGCCCCCCAGCGGAGAACTGCTGGTCTAAACGAATCGTTCAAATAACCGAGTGATCTTTATAGCTGAAATGGAGCCACCCGGAAAGAAAGGGCCGAGGACCATCTCCACACGTCCCTCCCGTGTTGTGTCTCTGGGCATTCTTCACGAGGGAGTAATGACAGCAGCCCCTGGTGTTTACCTGAGCAGCCTCCAGCTCACTCTCCAGGGCCCTTCTGGCTGACACGGCTTCTTTCTCTTCCTTTCTGGCGTGCACAAGGGCCTCCTCTAATTGTCGTATTTCTCCCTGCAATGAAACGCTGGGTCAGCGTGCACTTCGAGGTGTGCTGTACCTACGAAACTGACTCGGTGGAATGAAATGAACACTGAAGACACCCACACACATGGCAGCGGCTATGGTCACAACGTGTCTGTCATGGACCCAAGGCGGCACACAGCAGCTGTGTTCTGGGATGTGTGCACCTGTCTGCAGCTGTGGATCCAGTTCTTAGCCAGGTGTGAACATCCACATTATCTCAGGTGACTTTTTTTTTCTTTTTTTTTAAGAGACAGGGTCTCACTATGTTGCTTAGGCTGGTCTCACTATGTTGCTTGAACTCCCGGGTTCAAGTTATGCTCCCTCCCACCTCTCGGCCTCCCAAGTAGCTGGGATTACAGTCATGAGCCACCAGGCCCAGCTGGGGTAATTTTTTAAATATACAAATATCCAGCCTTATTCCTGGACATGTGAAAATAGTAGGTATTGAGTGGACCCACGTGGTCCTGACCACCCACCCAGGTGGTCCTGATGGATGACTGCTGTGGTTTGAATGTGTCCCCCAAAAAGCGAGTGCTGGAAGTTTAATTGCCATTGTAATGGTATGAAAAGGTGGGACCTTTAAGAGGGGATTAGGCCATGAAGGCAGGGTTCATGCTATTATCACAGGAGACAGTTCCTGGTCGATGGACACATGTGGCCCCGTCTGGCCAGTCAGTTCCCCGTTCCACCTCTGCCCTTCTGCCGTGTGATGCCATTCACACTGTGACACAGAAAGAAGGCCCTCACTAGACGCTGGCACCTTAATATGAGACTTCTCAGCCTCCAGAACCGTGAGAAATACATTTCTACTGTTTCTAAATGACCCGGCTGCGGTATTCCCTGACGGCGGCACAGAACAGACGGCAGTGACCATGTGTGTCTCCCCCTTCACTGTCAGCACCCTCTCCTGCTGCTGAGAGTGTGCGTCTCTCACTCACAGCTGCCCACTGCTAGAGGTCTGGCCAACCAGATAATTGGCTTATTAAAATCAGTGTAACTTCAAAAACATCAACTATGAGTTAAAAAAAAAAATCGTCCTGAGTGAGAGTCGGCCTAATGGTGGTGTTAAGGCAGACTTTTCAGGTGGAGGCGTCCGCGAAGCCGTGGAAGGCTGGGCGTGTCTGGCATCTGGGCGCATGGGGACTCCTGTGCCTAGACCTGTGTTCCCACCTGACCTCACATCCCTGTTCCCAGGCCATTACCAGGGGGACACAGCAGTGGCTTGCAGAGAGGATGTATTCAATATTGCCTTGACCTTCCCTACTCAATTATGACAATAAATCCTTTCCCCACTTCTGAAGTCACTTACGTCGGAAACGAGGAGCAGCTGCTGCCAAAGCTGGGCCTGGGCCCGGCGAGCCTCACCTCATACTTCTTGAGCGTTTCCTTTGCCTTGGCTTCATCTCCTTGCAGGTCTTCGATCTGCCTTTGAAGCTGAGCAACTCTCCGCTCCAGCTCTGCATTTCTCCCCTGCAGCTTCTCATTCTCCTCCCGCAGAAGCTTCACACGCATTTCAGTCTCCACCTGGTCTTGCTCTGAAGTGTTGCTCCTGCTGGCCAGGACCTCGACATTCTGTTAAAAACACAGGGCACCAGTGTCAAGGAGCTGTCCCCAAGCTGGGAGAACGGCTGGCATCTATGAAAAACCCATTGTGCCTATTCAGCCAGGCCCTGTGCTGAGCCGGGGTCAGCAACCCACAGCCTGCAGGCCAAACCCAGCCCTCCACCTGCTCTGAGAAGCGCAGCGTTACTGGAACGTAGCCATGCCCATCCATCTGCAGAGTGTCTGCGGTTGCTTTCAAGCTACAACGGTAGGGCTGAGTGGAGGCAACAGAAACACCAAAGCCTATGATGTCACAAAGCCTAAAATGTTGACTCTCTGGCTCTTTATAGAAAAAGTTTACCAACCCTTGCCTGTGTTAAGATCCTTACAAGGGATTTCAACCTTTTAACAATTCTTTATTTTTTTTTTCTTTTCTTTATTACATTTTAAGTTCTGGGGCACACGTGCAGAATGTTCAGGTTTGTTACACATGCCACGGTGGTTGGCTGCATCCATCACCCCATCATCTACATTAAGTATTTCTTCTAATGCTGTCCCTCCCCTATGCCCCCAGCCCCTGCTATCCCTTCCCTAGCCCCCCACCCCCTGACAGGCCCCAGTGTATCATGTTCCCCTCCCTGTGTCCCTGTGTTCTCATTGTTCAACACCCACTTATGAGTGAGAATATGCAGTGTTTGGTTTTCTTTTCTGTGTCAGTTTGCTGAGAATGATGGCTTTCAGCTTCATCCATGTCCCTGCAAAGGACATGAACTCATCCCTTTTTATGGCTGCATAGTATTCCATGGTGTATATGTGCCAAATTTTCTTTATCTAGTCTATTACTGATGGGCATTTGGGTTTGGTTCCAAGTCTTTGCTATTGTGAACAGTGCTGCAATAAACATATGTGTGCTTGTGTATTTATAGTAGAATAATTTAAAATCCTCTGGGTATATACCCAGTAATGGGATTGCTGGGTCAAATCGTATTTCTATTTCTAGATCCTTGAGAAATCACCAACCCTTTTTATTCTTACTGCCACCTTAAATGTGAGGAAACTGAGACTTGGGTAGTTTAAGTAACTTTCCCAAGATCACGTAGGAGGAACTGCATTCAGGCAGCCCAAACCCAGAACCTGTCTTCATAACCCTCACCTTCTCATGTGTCCACTTCCTTGCCCCATTTGCATGGGCAGGGCCTTTAAAAGAAGCTCTTGAGGAAGGGCAGCTTTGGAGTACAGCTTTTTTCATGTGCAATATAAAACAAATTTAAATTAGCTTAAATTCGGATACAGTTCATGGCATAAGCTCTAGGTATGCTGCACACAATTCACAACAGAAAGGAAGGACGATCTCAGGATGGTTACTGTTGATTCCAGATGTCACAGGGGCTTTGTGTTCTTTGGATTAGCACTTTGAAGTGATGGGAAAGGGTCCTGCCCAGCGTTCCACCTCTCCAGACAGATCTCTTGCCTGTCCTCCATTTCTCCATCGCTACAAAGACGCCAGTATCAGCAAATCTCATGCCTTCAATACAATGCTACAGATGCGTACAATTAAAGCAAGGCCCGGGGAGGATAAGGTCAGGCTGTCAAAGTCCACATCACAGCCCATGTGGGAGTCGTATCTGCTAGAACTGCTCACTTGTAGGGCCTTTTGGAAAGATCTGTACATCGTCTAACAGTACAGCAAGCTTGTTATCCTGAACCTAACCAGTTAGAGAGTTTGAGCACCTTTTCATGGCGCAAATGTTCAATTCTATACAACAGAGAAAGCCCATAGGAGCAAAGCAACTGAGTTAGATTGAAGTTAGCTGGCAAAGCTATGAGAAAACTAGGTGTCAGGCAGCTGGGATTTCTCAGGAATATCAGAATTTCATCTCCTAACGAAACCAGCAAGAGGACAAGTCACAAAGATGTACAGAGAAGAAGTAAAGTGTGGTCGAAAACTTGAGGAAGGATTTAAAGAATCCAGTAACTGGTCAGACCAGAGAAAGAAAGAGAAAAGTCTAGTTGCCCATTTCTGCCCCATCTTTCCCATTAACATGTGAGATAAAGTTACAGTTATCAAGACAGAGCGGTACTGGCATGACGGTAAGCATACAAATCAAGGAAACAGAATTAGGTGTTCAGAAATAAACCCCTATATTTATAGCCAATGGATTTTCAACAGGGGTGCCAAGATGATCTAGTACGGTAAAGAACAGCCTTCAACAAATCACGCTGGGTCAACTGATATCCACATGCAAAAGAATGAAGTCAGACCCCTTCCTCACACCATACACAAAAATTAACTCAAAATGGATCACAGGTCCAAATGTAGGATCTAAAACTATAAAACTCTTAAAACACAGGAGCAAATATTTGTGACCTTGGGTGAGGCAAAGGCTACTTAGCCACAACACCAAAAGCACAACTGACAAAAGAACTAACAGATAAATTAAGCTGCTTCAAAATGTAAAACTTTCCTGCCGCCAATGATGCCACCAACAGTGAAAAGACAACCTCCAGAGGGAGAGGACATACAAGTCATACTGAGGGAATGTGTTCTCTTTCTGGGTCCACAACGGGGCGCAGTTTTAAGGGCAAGAACTTCCTAGCGCCAGGCCCCCTTCCCATCTCTCTCCATCCGCGAGATTTAATGGTTTATGTTTAAATTTCGCAAGCTCGGGGAGAAAAAGTCAGTCACTCCAGCGGAAGTTCTAAGGAACTCCTTTCTTGGCCTGGGGTCTTAGAGGAGGTGGGGTTCCTCCCAGGTTAGAAGCCCCCTTCTTCCACACCCCTTCAGACTCCATGTTTGGGTCCCCTTCCACGAACACTCCCTTCGTGGAAGCAGTCTTTCTCTCTCCTGGATTTTCCCACTGGAGTCCCCTTCCACACTCTCTGGTGGAAGCCTGTCTTCTCCACCTAAACGCCATCTCTCTATTCCCTAACACTCTCTGGAAGCTGCTTTCCTCTCCTGGATTCCATCTTTCTAGATTATCTCACTCAGTGTGTATGCCACCACAGCTGGCTAATTTTTTTTTTTTTTTTTTTTTGAGACAGAGTCTTGCTCTGTCATCAGGTGCCAGGCTGGAGTGCAGTGGTGCAGCCTGTTTCTTTCTCTCTAAGTAAATCACTTTCTACAAACACTTCTGAGGCCAGCATTTACTGCACACTACGCCATGGTCCCCTCTCATTCTTGAGAGGGCAGGAGACCAAGAACCTGGAGAAACATCCTCTCAGGGGAGCTGAGGGCACCCTGAACCCCTAAACCCCAATATTATAATATATCTAATAAAGGACTCATATCCAGAATATATAAATTATTTTTTAACTTAATAATAAAAAGGTTTAAAAATTCATTTTTAAAATGAGGGCTAAGCTCTGTGGCTCATGCCTGTAATCTCAGCATGAGATTAAATGAGATTAAATGGTGCAGCTACTTTAGAAAACAGTTTGCCAGTTCCTCAAACTGTTACACAGAGTTATGGTATGACCTGGCAATTTCACTCCTTGATATGTAGGTAAATAAAAACAAGGGGCCAGGCACAGTGGCTCATACCTGTAATCCCAGCACTTTGGAAGGACAAGACAGGCAGATCACCTGAGGTCAGGAGTTCAAGACCAGCCTGGCCAACATGGTGAAACCCCGTCTCTACTAAAAATACAAAAAATTAGCCAGGCATGGCAGGTGCCTGTAATCCCAGCTACTTGGGAGGCTGAGGCAGGAGAATGGCTTGAACTTGGGAGGTGGAGGTTGCAGTGAGCCAAGATCGTGCCATTGTACTCCAGCCTGGGGGACAAGAGTGAGACTCTGTCTCAAAAAAAAAAAGAAAGAAAAGAAAAGAAAACATAAACATAACATACCTTCGCATAAAAACTTGTATATGAATGTTTATAGCAGCCTTATTCACAGTATCCAGTAAGTGGAAGCAATCTAAATGTCCATCACAGAGTGAATGGGTAAACAAAATATGGCATATCCCTACGATGGAATATTATTTGGCCATTCAAAGGAATGAAATATCAATACATCCTACAACACAGATAAACTTTGAAAATATCCTAAAGAAAAGAAGCCAATTGCCTGTAATCCCAGCACTTTGGGAGGCCGAGGCGGGTGGATCACGAGGTCACGAGATCGAGACCATCCTGGTCAACATGGTGAAACCCCGTCTCTACTACAAATACAAAAAATTAGCTGGGCATGGTGACGCGTGCCTGTAATCCCAGCTACTCAGGAGGCTGAGGCAGGAGAATTGCCTGAACCCAGGAGGCGGAGGTTGCGGTGAGCCGAGATCGCGCCGTTGCACTCCAGCCTGGGTGACAAGAGCGAAACTCCGTCTCAAAAAAAAAAAAATTAAAAAATTTAAAAAAAAATGTTAAAAAAGAAGGTTAGGCAAATTTAAGACGTATTTACTTGGCTACACAAGAAACTTAACGAAGACTGGCTATGAGGAAGGAAACCGGGCTGTGTGGGGAAGAGCGGAAACAAGTTTTCAACTGCAAATCCTTTTGAAATTTTTAAATTTTGAACTATGGAAATTCAACATGTACTACAATTTTTTAAAATAAATATACATTTTCTTTTAAAAGCCAGACCATCAGTGGTCACAGGAACTCAAGAGAACAACCTGCCTCCTAGGCCAAGTTCTCACGTCCTCCAGCCTCTAGAAACCCTTCCTTTGTCTTTTCATGGGTACTTCTGGGCCGTGAAAGATAGCGGAGCCGGAGCCCCAGGAGCAGCTGTACAAACAGAGCATAGCGCCAACTCTCCCACGCTGGTTTACGTGGTTAAGCAATTCCCTTTCACCACATCTAGCTGGGAGAGTGAAAAAGGCCCAGATGGTCCAGGACCTGCAACTACACGAGTGTTTCTCCAACTTTTCCACTCTGGCCACCCCGAGGCAGAGAAGTCCAATGTGGGGCGGTGAGACACATCCGAGGGGACGGCAAAGAACTGCTTTCCAGGCTTGGCTTTTTCCATCATGAATGAATGTGAATTTTACCTTCAACACCACAGCACTTTGCATCCTACTGTGTCTCCTTTC